CCACCATAACAGTTTATATACGAGATTGCAACTTGACTGTCAACTTTTAACAAAATATTGCAATTTCCTTCATCTTTTGCAAATATAGTCAGTGCTCGCTCAATTGCTAACAGTTCCAACGCATTAATATGTAATAACTCTTCAGATTTTGACCAAGTGCCGTGAGAAACGTCATTGTCACAAAAACAGCCCCACCCAAAAGGTGACGCATCAGTGTGAATCACTTTTTTAAAACTGTCCTCTTTTATGGAAGCCTCAGCTTTATGTATTACTGATTGCCACCAGTGAATATCCGAAACTGCTTCTTGAGACAAAGTCATACGATTTTGATAATTATCATTATTTGATTCTAAAGAGAATTGAATATCGGAAGCTAATTTCCGAGTATACAATAATCCATATTGTACTGCAGGACACGCTGAAATTAAATATCCTTGCAATTTAGCTGCCTCTCTTATAATTAGAGATTTAGATAACAAACATTTTTGTGCAAATTCAAAAATTAAAGAACGCTTGTTCGGAGTTAATTGAATGGTCATTTCTAAGGAATTAAAAATAAATCCTAAATATTTAATTACTTTACTTGGAAGTAATTCCGATTTTTGATAATTTACAGTAAACCCCAAACTTTTGAGTAAATTTTGGGTGGCCTGAACATTCTCGCTGCATAATTCAAATGTTTGACCAAATAACAAAAAATCGTCCAAATATCTCACGGATTGATAGCCTAATGTTCTAAGTTTCTCGAAAACTGGTTTCAAGAGCTTTGTGAATAATAATGGGCAAGTACAACAACCAAATGGAATACAATTGAAGTGATAAAGTATACCATTGAAACGGAATTTTAAATATTTTTTACAACTGTCATGAACAGGAACGTGGAAATACGCATCCTGTAAATCTATTGTAGCCATAAACATGTTTAATCTCATAATATTCAATACGCTTCGGTAATCTTCCATTTTAAAATGTGGACAGTGTAAATAGTTATTCAGTTTCTTAAGATTCAAGATGAATCGTCTTTTTCCATCAGGTTTAGGGACAGTAAAGATTGGAGATACAAATTGATCACTTTCCTCTTCAGATAGAGATATTGCCCCCATTTTCATTAGGCGGTCCAATTCATCGATAATAAATAGCTTTTCTTCCGGATTAAATTCTTGAACCTTACAATTAATTTGTGGCTCTGGTAAATTCTTAAAAGGTAGTTTGTAACCCCGAACAATTTCAAGAATAACAGGGTCGTCAGTCAAATTCGCCCATTTATCATAATATAATCTTAATCTACCTGATAATTTACTCACATTTAATTCTGCGGGCGGTAATTGTTGTATCTTCCTCGGTTGAATGGTCGTCTGCCTCCCCTCGAGAGGAGAGGCGCCCGGAAGTTTAAATTATGGCTAGTACCAGCATTAGATAACGACCCTCGATTAAATGAACCTCTTGCATAAGTTCCACGAGCACCTCCACGATAGATGGGGGTCAAATTCTTCACAATTTTGGCCGATGTTCGGACAGCAATCAAATCTTTTTCTAAATTATTTCCGAATAAGTTTTCGGTGACCGGAACTGAAGATCCACAAATTCCAGCACTTTCGATTGACAAAAAGGGTTTAATTTGTTGTCGTCGCCTGAGGCTAATTTCTCGAAAAGCCATACCAAATTCTGTTGCGGCTTCCATTGAACAAGAAAGTAAACTTTTCAATAAATCATTGGGAATCTTATCTGCATTTTTTGCTAAAATTTCAGCAAGATGTGACTGGGCTACTAAACCTCTTGAAACAAATTGTTGAACAAATTGTTGTGATGCATCAATAACTTGAGCTTTTTTAGGAAGTTGAGTCCAAATTTCACAATTGACTTTGGGTGCCCTCATTTCTTTAATGTTTTCTGGGATCTTTAATTTGATCTTGTTTTGATCAATGTGTTCTTTTGAAGCTGACTGAGCAATTAATCGTTTGAATGCTGCTGCTACTTTCAATCCTAAAGGAGGACCATATTCATCCGCCGACTGATTTGAATTCAATATTTCTTCAACAATTGGATTTTCAATCTCAATATTTTGATCAGCAGATTCATCTATTATGATTTAAATCATAATTTTTTCAATGTTTAGAATATTCCCAATTTTTAAATAATGAAATCCATTTCATTATTTAAAAATTAGAAATATTTTCGGAATTTTGATGCACTGTCTGCGACAGTGATCTTGGGCCAATTTTTTCATTTTTTGGTTTCTTTTTCTCTGGAGAATCTTCCTCTCCAATTTTTCTATTTAATTAATCAAACAATATAAATTAATGCAGCGCATTAATAAAATTTTCACTAATCGAAAAACCTAGCGTGTGCGCGACGCGGCGGAGGAAAAATAAACACAAATATCTTACCGTTTTTGTGAATTTCCTATAATTTCCGAATTTTCTTCTTTACTGGAAGCCATTTTGGATGGAGAGAGCGAAAACGTGAGCTGCCTTCCTCTGCCGCGTATGAACCAACACTGAGGGTTGGTGGTGGCGCGCGTGTGCATGGAAGAAGGAGTTTTTTAGTTTGTTCTATGCTTTTTGCTTCAAAATACGCCTTTCCCTGCCGGTGAACTTACATACTACTTGTCAACCATCATCCCTCCTCAGTGACCTCGGAGGGCGATGGTGTGACGTAAAATTTGTTACGTATTGTAAGTATAAACAAATGATAACTTGCATCTGCCTCTATCGTGGTAAGCATTTCCATGTTTAATTCCGCCAAGGTCGGCTTATTATCTTTGCGCACCGTATTTTTTAGTTTTGCAGACGTCCAGTTTAGGGCATCCAGAATCGGAAAATTTTCAGAAACCGGTTTTCGATTTTTCCGATTTTGGGAAATTCTCGTAAAACCGGTTTTCGATTTTCCCAAAAACCGGTTTTAAACCGGTTTTCAAAATCGGTTTTCTACCAAATTTTTAAAATTTGTTAAATATAATATTGTAAAATTTAAAGCTGAACAAATTTTGGGCATTAACTTGACATAATATTTCAGAACAATTAATTTTTGCATGAAAAACAAGATATGACAAATATTTAGTGGTTTTGAAACAAATTTTGTCCAAAATCGAAAACCGGTTTTCGAGTGTGATAAAACCGGTTTTTGACAAGACCGTTTTTTTAGAAAATTATAAAACCGGTTTTCGGGTAGCTCGAAAACCGGTTTTTAACCGGTTTTTAACTAGTCCAGTTATTACACTTCTCGCAAACTGCAAGACACATTTTTAAACATTTCTGTACACAATGCATTGTGTACGCATCGTGTACAGTGCAACCGTCCTGTATACATTGCAATGCATACAGGACGGTTGCACTCATCTCGCGTGGCCAATTCATCAAACATGCTGACAAATCCTACGTAATTACCATTACAAAAGCACAACACCTATTGCATCAGTAAGTTTCATCCTCTGCAGGGGAGTAGCCAGGAGGGTGCTCAGCTAAGAAAAGCGTTTTTATCTAGAGCCTGTCAATTAAATTTATTATTTTCAAGTAAATTCTTAATGACGCTTAGCATTTGCCCTTCATAAACAAATATATGACATGGGGAGAGATGGTTTCCCGATGATTCTCGTGCCCAGTGTAAGCAGAAGGGAAATTTCATAAAAGAGTCGTCATAGAAATCTTTCCGTTAATTTAATTTGTTGTAATTTTTATAGAAAAGTCTATCAAGAATTTTTTTAAAGTATCGTTATATTTATGTTAAGTCTACCTGATTTTACCAAATGCAACGGCATGTGATTGAGTTTTGTAGAAATATATTAGTAAATCCAAAAAATACTGCCTTTGTATGGCAATAAATATTACTGGATACACCAACATGCGGAAAATTTCCTGTTTGGAACCAATCATTTTACTTTTTTTAATCGTTTAGTTCAATATAAGAGCAGTTATGTAGTCAATTGGGGCACATGTATCAAGATAAAACTTTTCAAAGATAACATCTGAAAAAATTATAATCGCACCCAGAATAGACTATCACTAACCACATCCTGCTAAAAATTACTTTGAAGGTCTTAATTTGTATCCAAATTTTTTAAGATTAATTTTAATTTTTTTCCGGGTAATCAAGCATCCTTGTCTACGCCCCTCATTGTCTGAACGGTTGTTAAAATAAATTCCAACCCAACTCGCATACCGATAGTGTAACCTAACCTAAAAAATGTGATAAGTAAATAAATATGTACTTCATCGTGCATTATATTTATGCATGATCATTACACGGGCTTGTGTGGTGTCCGTTGCATAAATATGGAACTTGAGTCCACGTATTTCTCACGTATGTGATGTGTGGGAATTATTGAATATGAATATGTATTGAATTGTATGGCGAAACTTTGGGAATCAAGCAAGATGTCATTTTTTAAACCTGCGTTTTTATTTACAGTTGCTTTCCATGGCTGTACCCAGGGTAATGGGCGAAGCACGAAAAGGGCACCCCGGAGCATTAATTCACCACGTCACATACAAATTGGATTTAAAACCCAGCTTAATCCGGTATCGGGGCGGCTATGTTAGATTTCAACCCCACTACATTTATCCAGAAACACGGGTTTAAATCTCACGCAGCACCGATACTGGAGTTAAACTTGTAAATCAAATTTGTGTCTTACAAATTTGTTAGTGTGGGGAATGGATCCTCCTTGGTTTCATTTTCATGCTTCGCCCATTGGTTACCCGGGCTACATATATGTAGAACTGTACAATGCCAAAAATTCAATGCCTCGACCATACCACAACTCTACGCTGATCACCAATATTTCTAATCCTACCACAACAAAGGACATGTTCTGGATCGGGTGAGGAACGTGTTGTAGTGTGGTGTGCTGCACACCGTGTGCATAACAACTTGATTGACAAGGACACTGATGTAATTAATTTTATCGCGAAAATTATGATGATAAACACTTGAAATCGAGAATAAAAAGGGAATTGACTCTCGCACATGGTACCACACATCAAGTTTTCACGAGAAAACAATAAACTTTTTTTGAAACGATGAAGTTTACTCTTTCCTTTGCCCTCGTTGGCATCCTCCTTGCCGTAGGGCGGGTGGAATCCCACGGTTACATGAGGGAGCCCATCGCGCGGACGTCCATCCAACTCAGGCCGGAGTTCGGGACGAATCAGCCCTACTGGTGGGACAATACGGGCGTCTGGTGCTGCAATGTGAACCAAGACATGCAGTATTCCACTTGTGGGAGGTGTGGCGACGCGCCCGGAGAGACGACTGCGAACCAGGGCGGGATCTATGACAAGGGCGTCATCGTCAAGAATTATACTAGTGGATCGGTATGTATGGGGGATTATTTTATTTGAGAAGTGGGATTACAGTCCGTCTTAAAATGACGGTTTCGAAAGTTCGAAACTGACCCTCTTAGTCGCCCAGTTATTATAACAAACTTTCCTTATTTTCTGAAAATGTCTGGCTTTTTGTTGTTGGTGGGTGATCACTCACAATACGATGGTGTGAAGTGTAACCCTTCGATTTGGTTAAAGTTTTGAAATTACGTGGTCCAAGTCAATACAACCAATGTTTCTTGAGGCAGTCTGTTTGATCGTGGGAATTTGGCAAAATATTTGGGATGAAAGTTGAAAAATGGGCGATTTTTCCCTTTGCAGGGAATGGGAGTGGAGTTTGCTTCCTCCGCTTGGTAAAAATCGCTCATTTTTTCAACTTTTACCCCAAATATCTTGCCAAATTCTGACCATCGCACAAACTCCCTGAAGAAACGTTGGTTGTATTGACATGGACCACATAATTTCAAAATTTCAGCCAAATCGGAAGGTTACACTTCACACTATCGCGTTGTCAGTCCGTTTTTGGTCTGTCAAGAATATTTTGACTCTTTTTAACTTTGTCAGTCATAGTTTTTGTAATTTTTTAATGAAGACATCACACTTCTCTTTAGAACCTCCCTTTTACGTTCCCATGACCTTAACACTTTAACCTCTGAGCTTACTAAAAATTGTGCAAGAAAAACTGTTACAGATTCTGGGTTTGAAATTATTTAAAATATTGGATTTTTCTCACCAGATAATTCAAGTCATTGGGAACTGGGATGCCCCACATTACGGCTCTTTTGAGGTTGAGCTTTGTCCAAATCAGCAGGAAACCGATAACTGCTTTACTAAGTTGCCCATCGTCGGAGGGTCAGAAACGGTTCGGATCGATGACCGGATGTGCGTCCCGCACTTCACGGGTACTGTCGAGGTCACCGCGCTGGTTTAACTCCCCCCCGGGGTGACTTGCAACAGATGCACGCTTCGATGGACGTATCGAACTTCATACCCTGGACCGGCGGGTAGGTTGAGACTTGGGGAAAGTGGGTCACTCGTATAGGGTGGAAAGTTTAAATCTATATTTTTTTTAGATTGGGAAAGCTGCTTAAACCGAGAGCCAGCCCAAACGTTCAGAAACTGTGCCGATGTCGCGATTCATTAAGTTGGACATGAGGAAAACGTATATATTTATTCTGAAAAATTTTATCAAATTGTAACGAATTCTTAGTAGAGGGTTGACCCAATCAAGTGAAACAAATTAGAATAAATTACTTATATTTACAGCAGAATGAAATTAGTTGGAAACACTGAAAATGATTTCGTAAGATACTTAACCAAAGGTTTAGTTTTTCCGTCAATCGGTATTTTTCCAAGGGGAAATTAGCAAGGTGGGAAAAATGGTATTTACTCTCAGAATAGGAAAAATTCTGTGATCGGTTGTTAATATGGATGTATGTATGCAGCTGCTTAGTCTCAAACAGGTTAAAACATTCCTTGGGGGTGTCCCTTCTCGTGACGCTTCAGGCTGGCCACGAACCTCAAAATTCACAGCGACAATTTATCTATTTAGTTTCCGTAAACAACTCGAACGATATTTTGCAACCCTCCCTCCATTAACATGTGTCACACAAGTGCTATATCATTGGAGTCTTAGCCCGGCTCCTTCTTCCTCCTGTCGTTGTAGTTATCGTTATAAATCTTACATTAGAGGTCTCTCAACGTATGTCTGCATACTCACAGACTTGAACCAAACTAATGTCAATCGACCACAATTTTAATTAGTATAAAGTTTACAAACATCGCAATATTTATCTGCCAATGCGCAGGTTTATGTAGCGAAGCCATTGTCATCCAAAGAGGAGAAAATGCACCGAAACTGTGCTAATTTTACATGTGTCAAATTTACAACGCATTTTCTGGGTGAACCCATTGGAAAATTGCATGAAATTCCGGAACTTTTATTTTCTTTTTAAATTCATACTTGCATCACCCCCTTAGGACAAACCACGGACAACATAATGTTTATGCACCCTGGTACATATGTACATATATACCTACCTATTTACATACACACATGCACATGTGTACGTGCACATTATGTACGTGCACACATACCTAGATTGATATCCAGAAATACCCAACTAATTAGCTATCTACATAAAGGCTAGCTATGTACGTCAGAAGAATGCACATAACATCTTTTTTGCTCCTTCTGCTCCGTAAACCTTTGACATTTTATGTAATTATCGAGTTCAAACGATTCCAAGTAAGTTGGCAAAATATACTAAAACATTGACAATTGCTTATGTATATATTTTTATCACCTCTCCCCCAAATTATGTATGTACATGCCGAAATCAAGACACTAAATACATAAATACATTTTGGATATGCATAAATATGTACAGACTCATTTTCTCACTTTGTCCAGTCCATACATATTTTGTGAACATTCGAGTTAGGATAAATAACCATCTCGATAGTAGAATTGTCTACGAAATGCAATCTTCAACATTAATCCTTCATCTTGCTTGTGCCATATTTAGTACGGGCAAATATTAATGGCGACCCTAAATGACTGAATGGGATACCCTAAATACTAAACCCTACGTTGGACTGAATGGCCTTCCCTAACTTGCCAATAACCATCCTTATTTATCTTAAACTTTACCCTAAGGTCCCAATATATTTTAATAACTAAATTATACATACCAAATAAAAATAAATGAAATTTACTCAAAATTGAGTAAAAAGAGGATGACACTACCAAAAGGTGAACATTAGACAACGTTGTACACAATTTATCCACCCGTTGGACAAATTTTACGTACATAACTTTGGACAAAATTTTGGAATTCCAATTTTTAGAACGGTTGGATAAATTTTACCTTGTGGTTGTGTCATCCACTTTTTAACCTTGAGTAAATTTTACTTATTTTTATTTAGTGTGTATGTAATCCGTACACACAAGGACAAGAATCAAATTAGTTGATTTCTCTATATAATTGTCAAATAATTAATAATCAGCATATTTGTGAGCATTTAATCAGACTAGGATACATCTGCAGAGATTTCAATATCTCTGATACTTGCAAAAACGTATGTACCTCTTCGGTTAAAACTTGAACCAGGGAGCCCAAAGAAATGCAAGTGAGCCCTTGTTGTTGACGAATTTTTGGCTAATTTAAGAATCAATTCTGAGAAACGGTCTTAATAAATTATAATCGAGTTGTAATTACCTAAAAAATGAGGTAAATCAACTATCAGAACCTTAGGGTCGAGATTCAGTTATTAGCTATTATTTTCGACCTGTTAGGGTAGGCCATTCAGTCCACCGTAGGGTTTAGTTCTTAGGGTATCCCATTCAGTCATTTAGGGTCGCCAATAAATGCGACCCTATTTAGTACTAGTGCTACCATGGGGGGGATAGAGTCATCCTCAAATAACCCCCTCACACAGGGCGTCACCCTTTCAATAACTTCCTATCTAAAATTCATCCACGCCGATTCCCTCCAACTGGGAGATTCGTGTTCCTGGAGTGACGAAACCTTCCGTCAATCTGGTTTCCGTAAGATGTTAAAGTTTCCTAAAAACAGCCCACAATACAACCAAATTTTCGACAGCATCGTTTCGGACAGTGTAAAAAAAGGGAGGACATTTTGCAGAGCGGCGGACACCCTGGTGTGTGACAAGACTACGGCTAGATGCGTTTGCGGGGAGGATTACGTTCAAGTAAATATGTAAATTTTAGTTTAAAAGCGGAAAATGCTTTCAGGAATTTTTTGTTTATTTCTTTAAAATTAGGCCATCCTTCGAAATCGGTATAACTTGACGAACTACGTTACCGAATGGGATGCTGGGAAGGGAAAAAATGTGTGTCGGTATGCTCGAGGGGAGCCCTGCGTTCCCCACTCATTCATTTTGATGGATGGTTCCTTCTACTTGAAATGTGGACAAGGTCTGAGCTGTAATTATGTCAAGGATGGAACCACATGCACAGATATGGCAAGCTTGGAATATTCGATAGAGTCGGCTCGAAATAACGAAACAAACGCCACCGGAGTTTTGGCGGGAAAGATGTGCACGTGTGAAACTAAAGTGGCTGATGACGATGCGAACAGGAAAGGCTTGAAGGACGATGAGGAAACGTATGCTCAAGCTAAATCTGTGGGAGGGATGGAATTGTAATAATTTCGTGGGTCATTGGCGTAACAAAATTTTATCTGGGACCAAATTTCGTAGGATAAGATAAAACCTGAATTGTTTTCTTTCATTCAATCTATAAAAAAATAATAGTTTTATATTTTGTATGAGTTTTTCACTGTGATAAATTTGGAGGTCACAAAAAATTGCGTTTCGTCGACTTCGCAACGTGCTAAGTTGCTTTTGCATTTGCCGGAATACAGTGACTATTTATCATATAAGATAAATCGGCTGACATACCAATAGTTCGGAAAGGTGAAATTACATATGTGGAATCATGTTATCAAATTTCTCTACAAAATATGTATGTATCACGTACTTTTTGTGATGAAAATAGTACACTTTAAATCTAAAAACTACATTTCATATAAGTTTGGAAAAGTAAAAGCATGCAATGTTTCTCATACAAAATTAGATTCAAATTTTAGCGAATAAATTTCATTTCATGAAAACCTCTACTGTTGAAAACAAGTATGATTTTCGACTTTTATTTCAATTTTACAGATTTTCAGCGTCTTAGATTATTTCCAATTTACAAAAAGGGAAAAATTAATATGATTGTGAGAAAGTTAGTCCGATTTAAATTTCGAATTTGTTTAAGGTACAAAATATTGTGAGATATTTCATCAGCTAAAAAAGAGTTAAAGGAAAGCAAAGTTATTTATGTATTTATAAATGAATAAAGCTTTTCATACGAGAATTCTTTATTTCATACATCAACTATTTTGCCGAGTTGTATTTTTGCTTAAAATAAGCATTACTTTGTCTCACTAATAATTAAGTGAGTGAACAAATTAATTTTTGGGACGCAACAAGAATGAATTCCTCCCATTCATAACTACTTAATGATAACTTGCCATAATGAATATATGAAAATATGTCCCGTCAACAAATTAGAGTTCACTCACATAATGAATCAATTTTCGTTCGTATATATTCATCTCAGGATTAATTAGGTCATCGAACCGAGTTTACACAAAAAAGTTATTGATATGTAATTTATTTCCATCAATTCCATTAATTTGCACGTTCTTATCAAATCACTTCCTACCATGGGTTATCTGGTGCTTAATTATTATGTTGGTTATACATATAACGCTGGTGTGGATAAATCTATTCTCATTGCATTTTAAACCAGAAGAGAGGAAAGTGTAAAAATTACAGAATTTTCTGCAGCTATGGAGCTTAAAAAATTTCAAATATTTTTTGCACTAGTTGTGCTTGCTACATGTGAGAAATTTCCATCTCAACATGATGACAGGTAATATAGTAACTATATTATAAATATTTTATAAATACTAACATATCCTAGATTCTGCACCTTAATGGTCTATTGTATACGGGTTTTGAGTTTTTGTTGTGTCTCAACTTCCCATTCTTCCATATATTCAAATGGCGATTTTGAAACCTATTCATCTCCGTGAGTTATTTACAATATGAAAATTTTAGTGTACCTAAAAGCCAATAATTTTTGAGTTTACAAAGTTACGACTGTTGAATTTTGATTTTTTTCTTCCATGAGGAAATAAATATGAAATAGATGAAAAATAATAAGTAATAAAAACTAGATATTTTCTCATTCAAGAAAAAAAATCAAAATTCTAGACTCCTAACTTTGTAAACCTAAAAATTATCGATTTTTCGGTACATGAAGATCTTCACATTGCAAAAACCCCACGGAGATGAATAGGTTTCAAAATCGCCATTTAAATATATGGAAGAAGGGAAAGTTGATACACAACAATTCAAACTCAAACCCCGCATATAAGTGCACCTTAACAAGACAAAATGTTAAAGCAATTAATAATATTATTTGGTTTAGGGAAAACGTAATTTTGAGAAGAATCCAATTTGGGAATAAAACAGACAATGGTAAGTCTACTTATACACAAATGACGCTGTTTTCGTACACTGAAAATTAATTTAAATTCAAAACTTAAAATTTTAAATATATCTGACAGAAATAGTTCGCTACAAGCCCCCCTCCCATGCTTTATCTGCCATCCCGCAGAACCGAATATTTCAAGGGGCCAGTGGAAAATTGGAGATAACAGATAACTGTGAAGGGCAAACCTTCTACCTTGTTTCCGCCTATCCACGGTATGAATAATGTCAAGGATTTGTGTATTTAAGTTTGTATTACTTTCTTATAAGCAGAGTTTCGTTTTTTCCATCCAAATATTTTTCCCGTGGGTAGTGGGAAAAAGTGGTTTTTACCGTCCAAAATGGGAAAATATGGCGCTTCATGTATATGGGAGCAGTGGCGGATAAATAGGGTATGTGGGGTAGGTGTGACTTAGGGGCCCCCGGGTGCGGTGTGGTGTATATACTGGGGTATATATCTAAAATTATGTAAGTTTGGTCAACGAATTTCGAAAAATAAATTAACTGATATTGTGGATAAATTATTATTAGGTTAATTATTATTAAGTTCTCTCATAATAAGTAGTTTGGGAAAACTATAAATCGGTGGTTAAGTATTTATGTATGTACATATTCTGAAGGTAATTCGGTTACGATTATTTATTGCCGATTTGGAATAAATTTCTCACCGGTCGGGTATAAATTGATAACCAGTCACTGGTAGTCTCAAATATATATCTTCGATTCTGGATATATGTATGTAAACGTAACCGAGTCATTTCCAGTGTAAATTATTTAATCTTGGAAGGTTTTTTTTGGGGTTCGAACAATTTTTGCATGAGATTCCGCCAATCTTCGCACACTTTAGTAGCTAAATACTAAACTTGGGGGCCCCTTGATAGGGATGAGACTTTTTCTTACCAAAAACTGATTTTTTTATATTCTTGCGCAAATTCTGCGGAATTGCATGCAAAAATTGTCGAATAAAAATGATGTTAGCCTCATTACAGAAGGGTGGTCCAAGAAGCTGTATAAATTTTTCGTAATTTCTTTAACCTGCAAGCGGAACTTTTTTACTGCGAAACTTGCTGGATTCGACGGCCCTTGTTCTTAACTTTATCTAGGCATGCATCGCTTTTTACCCGGTACAAAAACTTCAAGGGACTTTTCTACGATGTTTCCTGCAGTCATTTTTTAAGTGTTACAAAGTACATGAAAATCCGTAAATCGTAAAATGTAAAAATTGCATTTCTACGATGAAAAATCCGAAATAATCCAATCTGTCAATATCTGATGACTTAACAGGGATGGCTTGATTTTTGACCACTGCCGGATCAGAATTATAGTTGTCCGTTTTTGCGCAATGCTAACATTTTTCAGAAGGAAGCGGAAAAGTTGGTTTTCGCTCAATGCGTAGACCTATATGTACATATGTCCTTTTTCTTATAATATTTCCAAAATCAATTTTAATTCGCCTGTATAATTCGCCTGATAGTTAATTTGCTGGATTCTAACAGATCGACCATGCTGCATTAGGATTGGGAATTTTCTTGGTGGGTTAAGTTGTTTAACTGAATTTTCAGTTTTTTTCTACTTTGCCCAATGGGCAGTTTTTCAATGGTGCTAATGATATTAGGCTCGTGACATGACTTTGAATAAGTCCACCAGAAACTATTTTATTAATTAATTGCAAATTGATTTCACGAACAAATAATTAAAGCTGTTTTCTATAACACTTCCGATGTAACCTCGGCAGGAACAGTCTTGCATTGTCATACTATGTACATCTACTTGAACTGAGCACGTTGTTCGAATTTTCAAAAATAAGTTTACAAAAAAATCACAAAACAATTTTTTGAGTTACTCTACCCAATTTTGACGACAAATTTAATTTTATCATCCCCTCTTTAAGGGGGATTGGATTGAATTTTTATACAGCTTCTTGGTCCACCCTGTATCGATGTCTTTATCTAGTCCGTCGTGATTCCCAATTGACGCCTAATTCCCCACGAATCGAAAGGAATTTCATACGGAGTTAAGTTAATATGTATTATCCGCCTATTTCGATATTTAAATTAGGAAATATTGAGACGATAATCATAAGTGGTTAGGATTAAAAGCAAAGTAAAATAATTTAAGTTCGCTAATATGTAACTTCACTCAATTCTAAAGGGATACGGTCTAGCTTATTTTTATTTCTGGGAGCGGTGCAACGTAGTTAAAGCTGAATATTTTCTTTAAAAAGTTAAAATAGTTCGATAACATTAAAAAATGTCGCCAATCGGAGTTCTTTGTAAGGAGAGCCATTTTCCGTATCAAGTCAGAGGGCATAATTAAATTAAATTTACAAAATATGCTTGCTAAACATATCATATGTTACATATGTAGTACACAAAATAACAGAGACAAAATATTATGAAATCAAGCATATGTAGTTAAGAATTTTAAATACTGTTACATATCACAAACAAAATCCCACCTAGGGGCCCCGAGTTGGCTTTATCCGCCACTGTATGGGAGGCTAACTTCAATACCTTTTTGAATTAAACTTCATATTCGTGATCTCCATGAAATTATGAAGATTTTGATCTGCAATACGGGTAGTTTTGAAAAGTTTTAGTCTTTTTGCAAATTTTTACACATAAATACATGTCGCTTTGAATGGCAATGTTTTGCTTAGTTTCAAAATTTTTGTTTTGTTTCAAAATATTTGCTTGGTTTCAAAATTTTTGTTTTGTTTCAAAATATTTGTTTCGTTTTTTTTCAAGCGGAGAAATATTGTTTTGTTTTTGTTTTGTTTCAGACCAAATCTTTTTTCTTTGTTGGGTACATTTTCTCTGAGAAATTGGTAGAGAATATGTACAGGTCTCAAATTATAAATCAAATTCCTTGAACAGTTTGCCCAAAAACCGAGTTTTTCCAATTTTTTCCGATTTCCCACCTAATTTGGGTGGGTAGCAAAAACCGCATTTTTCCAGCTGCCCTTGGGAATTTGGTTTTAAGAAAACGTAACCCTGCTTCTAATCTGTTCGTATTATCTAATTAAAAAAGGAAAGATGACTGCACTGAGACTTCCCCGAGTAAAATGCAGGTAAGCGCCCGAGAAGATCAATTATATTAAATCTATAAAAAGCCTTGTTTAATCCTGATAATTAAATAAGTTTTGTGCACTATGCATGTATAAAAAGTGATAGGATTTGTCTCGATTTCAGTATTTCCAAAAATCACACTGAAAATTATTTATTATGTAATTCTCATAAAAACTTCATATACTTCATACATATGCGTCATATTTTTCCCTCTCATAGTATGAATCCCTCCCGACATACATCTCCTGCTTTGACCCTATACTCAAACAAACGTTGTACTCTGTGGGACACGTCTATGGAAACGGTGGATTGCCACGTACAGGCACTGGAAATTTTGAACAGGCGATGTCACTTTTTCAATTTCAATGGAAAAATATGTACAACACTCCGAAGCAAAGGACCAACTTGAAAGCTATGGTAGGCATGTGTTAAAGTCGAGTCAATATATGTAGATGCATATACAGGGTGGTATAAAAGTCACGCTACAATTGAAAATTTTTCCATGGGAAAAATTCGTAAATTTCCTTTCGTTACCAAAATTTTGCCTCTTAAATTAAAAATTGTAAGAATTTTGTCATCGAATCAGTTTTGACAAAACTATTCGGTAAATTCTCAAAATTTTGGTAACTAATTTACGAATTTTTCCCATTGAAACATTTTCCATTGTAGCGTGACCTTTAAACCACCCTGTATATAAATATATTTGCTTTTTGGTCCAAGCTTGGTCCAACAAATTACGCCAGATTCTTCCCAGACCAACAACCATATGCGTATACTTGTGGACACTTATTTGCGAGAGGTGACGTCAATACGCGCGTTGGCCAGGCGTCAACCATGTTTTATCTTAATGTCGCGCCACAGCAGGGAATTCTAAACGCGGGGAATTGGAAGGTATGAATATTTTTAAAACCAATATTATCAAGTTTTTCATCGTCCTTAGTTTGTGTTACGTATTTAAACATAGAAAATCGATTGTTTAAAATGGATCGATTAATTTTATCGAAAATTGTAGAAAATCGAAGACGACGTCAGGGTGTTGGTAGATCCTGGTAACGCCTTGTTGAAAGTATGGACCGGTACGTTTGGCTTACTCGAGTTACCCAATGACAACGGAAATATGGTCAAGATGTACTTGGGACAAGGTGCTATCCCCGTTCCCAAGTAGGTTTTTTTAATTCCTGGGAAATAAATGGGTTAAAAATTGAATTTGTCATGCCGTCGCGACTAATACTGTAATACTGACAAGGGACACTCACGACCTGTCGTTTGAGTCCAGGGTACCCACTATGTTTTTTAGAATCTACTAGGACCCCAGATGAAGGATTCATTCATATTTCCGTGTAAAACTCATATTTGGCCCAATGGCGTGGCGCCAAACTTAAAAATTTGCATTTTCGAACAATTTCAAACCCCCATAACTTTTGCAGTTTATGTCGGATTTTTAAAATTTTATGCTTAAAATGATCAGAAAAGTCGAAATTTTAGAGAAAAAAATAAAAATAAAAAATTTTAATTTTTGAGATATTTTTTAGCATGTTTTTGACGAACCCGAAATTTCGAAATTTTGCGAAAAGTTAAAAGCGATAATTTTGGAAAAAATTTCATAGAATACGAAAGTTGAACTCCTTGTCATGATTTTTGCCAAAAATTTTGAAAATCCGTCCAGGATTTCAAAAGTTACGGCGGTTTTAAAATGAAAAACCTTCAAATTTGGCGAATTTGGCGCCATGCCATGGCGCCAAATATAAGTTTTACACGGAAATATGAATGAATCCTTCATCTGGGGTCCTAGTAGATTCTAAAAAACATAGTGGGTACCCTGGACTCAAACGACAGGTCGTGAGTGTCCCTTGTGAGTAATAATTTGTAGTTGGTCGGTCGAAAATCATGCACAGTAATAGTTAGACTTTCTAAAAATTATAGAGTTTTTTATTGTATTGGGTTTAGACTTTTCGGGGTTGATTTTTTCACGATGCGAATTCCTTGATATAAATTTATTCTATTATGTAGAAATTTACTCATATGAATTATGACAATTATGACAATTATAACAATATTTTTTTTAATTAATCTCCCAGATTCTTTTGGAAGTTGGTGTATGACATGGTCTCAACGAAGGGCGTGGTAATTATTCAATTCAACAATCCACACGCGACCCCTGACGAGATAACTCGGGATAGAATACAATGCCAAGACATGTGCGATCGTGTCCCTTGGTTAACAATGACACAAGCCCAGAGGGACAACATCCTCCACGGATACACGTATTGTTGCAATGTGGACGAATTTAAACAGATTGTAGGATATCCAAGCAACCTTCCAACCATTATCAATTATTAATTGGTGAGCAATGATGTGACATTTTTTTAAACTGGCTAAAATTGTGTATCTTGATTTAAATCATGTTTCTTATATACCAAAAATGGTATTGTTTTACATAACTAAATATGTTTTAATTTTCAATAAAGTTAATGATCTAAATTTATACAAGACAAGTTCGTGTTGCTCTTTATTTAGTTAGCCTCACCCAGGTTTATGTACATATTTATATGTACGTATATGTACATTGCACATTCATACATACATACATATTCAAGGTTCCTTCTGTAGGTCATTCATGTATGATGATTTATTAACTAATTAATTTTATAATTACACTTTTAGAAATCCAGTAATAAAATAATACCAAACCTTATTCACATACATATATGGATATGACTCTACCATTCTGCTATTGAAAATTAATACCTTGTAGGAATACCTCGGTATTAAAGTTTTACAATATCGATAGCAAATATATTACGGACCGATAAAATTTTAACAACAAGCGGAAGCAACTATGTATAACAATGAGAAATCAATACCTGTACGACAAAACTTCTACAAGTTTATCATGAAATGTGAATTCATTGTGATTTGTACGCTATATCATCCTTTCCGCAGGGCTCCTAAAACTAGAAAGACGTTTATCATCTATGTAAATATGAGTCAGGATAAAGACATGACTCACACAGAAATCAAGATTACGTATTTTTTCCGTCACTCCTGATCTCGTCAAAGTAGAAGCAAGTTCTATTCATCGGGAAAAATATTTCCTAAAATTTACCCAAACTAGTTAACTTATTTACCAGAAAATACAAGTTTTGAGATAATTTATTTATGATGGAGACAAAATACTCCATCCTCCTCATTTTCTTCCTCTCTTCGCAAATAATTTCAACAATGACAATAAGCACAGAAGTGCGACTTGAAAATCTAAAATTTCTTCCAAAACGTGTCTTCGATGCAAAAAATTCGGACAAATTATCCAACGCCAATTCACCAGCTCCCTTATGGGATTCTGCCCGCACGGAGAAAATCTTTGACCTGTTAGACCCAACCGATTTTTCAGTAAATGAACAAGACTGGAATCGTGCCAAGGAATTGGAGCACTTCAAAGTGGTCATGTCCGGTGGGGGGGATACGGCAGAAATGTTGGCGTATTGCGAAATTATTTTGAAGAAATTTGGAATTACGAGATTGAGCGAATTAGAAGAGATTTACACGATGAGTGAGTCCCTCCAGTTTCTTTTGGATTATTATAAGAATGCTGTCCAGCTTGTGGATAAGGTAATAAAACTTTATTTTTAGAGCATTAAGTTATTCGGCGTACTCAAGTCAATCTCGTATAATTTGCACATCGATCAAATTAAGCATATCATCACTGCTTGCAAAGTTTTGAGAATTTTTCAAGGTTTTACAAAACCTTTGCTGGAAAAAGAGGATTTTTTTCGCAAATTTTCCAAACCATAGGACATGTTCTTATTTTGCAAAGATGGCAAACTTATACATAGTTTCAGAAATGCTTTAGAAATTGTAAATACTCTAAATATGTACTTAAACCTAATTAAGGTGGGGTTTACAGGGCTGTTTGCATAGATTTGGGAAATTTGTGAATTCAAATTTTGCGAATCCCTTTGAGCTTTGCTACATAGTTACCTGAATTAGTTGCGACGCGAAATATAACGTGTGCGCTCATTCTCTTACAAAATTGCATCGTCAAATACATTTATATGTAAATTACTTACCTATTTAGGGCTCCAAATACCTCGCCTTTCTTACCCAAAGTGCAAAAACCTTAGAAACTTTCCTCCAACTACACAAGCAATCTGTACAAGATCTAAAATTCATTTGGGACGGGCGAGAGAAATTACGAGAACGGGTCTTAAATGGAGAAGTCGATGCAATACCGGTTTTCCAGGATTTTGAAAAAATGGGTAGCCAGGAATTTCAAACATATCAAACTCTCACGGTCAAGACCTTGGTAATTAGAAAATTATTCACTGACATATATAATTTTACGACGTAATAATTTAAAAAAATAGATTTTAATCGCTTAATTAAATTATTTCTTCAGGAAGCCATGAAATCTGCAAAATCAAAGGAATCAGAAAGTCTTGTGATCGATAACGAGATGAAAAATCTCATGGAAATGTCGCATATTGTAGACAAGCACGGATCCTCTTTGGCTATTTTCGTCTCTCGTTACCTCCATATTTTCTCCACAATGCTCCATTAGAATATTATTCCTGGTGAAAGTTTGTTTTGGTAAATACTATTCGTTAAGGAAGTTCCATTATATAAAGTTGTTGATCCTCTTTGGCTTTCAACCGTGCACGACGTGTCTCTCTCTCGCTCTGCAACTGGATTCTCTCTCTTCCATCTGGGTCGCGGGTGTGCCAGGGCAAGTGAAGTGTGTCCCAGGCTTTTCGCCATGTGAGCCTCGTCCACTCACACCCCCCACCTGCGTGCCTGGTGACACCCCCTGCCACACCCGTCCCAGCAACGACAAGCTGAGCCATCAGGCGAAGATGGATTCGCCGGACCAAGTGCACGGGAGGATCTACGCCATGGAGGACTCCCCCCAGGTAGGTCATTGTTTGGTATATCGGGGTGGTGACCGTGGGGGCGGTTGGTAGAAGAGTGGGGACGGGGTCGTGCATGGCGGTGGGCAGTGTAGTCGGGCCTACGGGGGTCCCATGGCCCGGTTGTGCTGTGAGGGGTGAAGGGGCAAGTGGGTAGTGTCGCTCGGCCCTGGTCACACTGTGTGACCGTGAAGGGGACACGTAGCCCGTGCCCGTGAGGGCGCTAAGGTATTTCGTGGTCCGTGGACGCCCCGCCCAACAACCTTCACTCACCTTGCTTCCGCCGTCACGACGCCGTCCTCATTTGGATATCAGCAGTTCCTCGCGGAATCTGCCTATGATCCCTATCACTCATTTGTCCTGCCTGGGTGATGTAGTCAGAGCCGAATGGACCTCTGGGCCACATTCCCAGAGGTGATAGTGGTTTTCCTGGCTCTACACCATAGCCAGGTTTTCCCACTATTCCTCTGACTACTTTACTTTATTTACATTTACATATCTAACTCTGTAATTTCTATTGATGAGGGCTCATGGCCATATCAAATGCTAATAAATTGAATATTGAATTGAATTGTAGACAAGCACGGTTTTCATGTCAATTTTCAAATCGGGATGAGTTCCTTCAATCCCGGCAAGGTAGGTCAGCCTGTTAACCTGAACTTGGTGGAAAAGCTGATCAAATTATATGTGAAAATTGAGGGCTTGAGGAATTTTGTTTTGGTAAGCGATCAATACATTCGTTATCTTTTGTTGCTAAAATTTTCACTTAAACCTTTCGTATAAAGTGGATTTCTTAGAATTTTTATTAAGAATATCGTTTAATCATTTGTTGTATATAGAATATTTGGCAACCTTGTTAGAAACCTGGCATAGTCACGCAGGTATTGGCTCGGTATTGAATTGGCTCCCATCTTGTCTTTAAATTATACTGGTCCGTCAAAATTTGTGATCAAAATACTTCTGTAATCAAAATTTGGGATCAAAATTTTGTGATCAATATTTTTGACCACAATTTGCGATAAAAATTTCCGACCTGAATTTGTGATAAAAGTTTTTATAAAAATTTGCGATAAAAATTGTGATAAAAGTTTGAATGTGAATTTGAATGTGAAAAATTTGAATTGAAATAAAAATGTGTGATTAATGTCCTAATTCTCAAATATCATTTTTGCAGTTGGAGAAAGATTTTGCAAAGAGAGAAAAATTGCGAGAAGAGCTTCATGTAGAGGAGAAACTTTTGGCAAGTTTTCTGAACCAGGACACATCCATGGAAATCTTTAACTTCATGGATCAAACGAACGTTTTCTTGACCAGGGCGAATGAAAATATGATGTCTGTCAAAGCAATTGTAATATTTTGTCTAGATATTTCGGAATATATTTAAGTATTTATGATTTGATTGATCTACCATAAATAATTTGCATTACAGAAGGACAAAATCTCAGAAGATGTGAGAAAGATGGGAGAATTGGCAGCACAAGTTAAGGAACTAATGGCCAAACCTTTCGATCATTTGGAGCGATTGGAGAAAATTGTTAAGAAAATTGAACAGGATAAAGTTCGGACTGAATTTTAAGATGACTTACATACAAACTTGTTTAACACGGCAGAGAAATCCACGTGTGGGTAAAATGGGATGAAATTAAATATAAATTATTATGCACTGTACTTTTATGCTTTTTCAACTTGACGGGATAATTATTGCATTGCAAATAAGTAGTATTAAGACAAAGTTATAACTTGATAATTTATTTTTTTAAAGTTTTTTAATAAATTATTATTTTTAATTATGCATAATATAAAATATAATTGACGGTTATTGTTTGCATCGCATAATATTAATTTTTAAAAATTCAAACTTAAACTACATATAAGCCTGCAGAGTGCAAATTCATCATTTTTCCAGCCAATAGATTTGAAGAACTTTATTTTTTACTAATCTGGTGATGATGAGAAGATTCGGTGTAAATTTTCATCCAACAATTCTCATCCCACATTTTCACTCGACAATTCTCACTCCGCACCAATTCTCACTCCACAATTTTCATTCCCCAATTCTCAAGCTACATCAGTTCCAGCCATAATAATTCTCAAATAAAAATCTCAAATAAATCCCCAATAAAAATGATATCTTCTGAGACATGTGACAAAACGACAATGTATGTATTTTATATTTCGATGTATTAGGATGACAAGAAGTGAAATTAAAAAACATTCCAGGCCATCCTGCTGGTGTAGATTATCAACAAAATTTGTAAGCGAAAACTAAATTCCCTGTAAAATTCCCAGTGTTGTATTTAGTAATTAAGACTACATTTTGTGATTAATATATTTTACAAAAAATCTGTTGTAAATAATTTTCTTATTTCAATGATTGTCACAAGGGGTTATGAAAATGAGGTAAAGTTTTTTGATTTCTTCAACTGCATCGCAAAAGGTAGTTGAATGAAAGTAGTTACAGGATCCGCTACTAACACGTGAACGCGGTCACTCTTGAATTGGTCCAAAACGGGTTGGAGTTTCGGTTCCAAATTTTGAGCATAGCGACATATGATTATTGACAAGGGCTGAGCAAAAAATTAGCTCTCTAGATTCAAAAATGACCCTACCATTGACCTTAGAGTAAGAGGGTACCATAAAAACACTTTCCAAACTTAATTTTTCGTACACAGACATAATTAACCACTTCAAAATTCAAGGACAACAAGTTTCGAAAACAGGGATACATAAGGTACTGATAAATGAAAGTCAACAACGACAAGCTCGTACCAAAGGACAACCATCATGCCTCAAACCCGAGTCCGAAAAGTGCTAATTCGGCCCGTGCTTAAGAAAATTGACCTACTGACCTCTAAGGGCAACTCACCACCCCAGAGAGCAGTGGCACGTCTAACCAAAGTGTCATAGACTAGTGTGCGACGAGCAATTAAAATTTTGCAGAAGCAAAAAAGAAGAAAAATCCGAGTCCATCAGCTGACTGAGAAGCATAAACAAAATCGTCGTCTGACCTCCAAAAAATTTTATATAAATTACCTGACAAAAGATAAAAGTGACTTTTTAGTGTCGTTGGATGAAGAACTATTTTCTTTAAAGATACCAACGGTCATAGAAAAATTTACTATACAACCAAAGAAGAAAATAATTCCAGAAGATTGACCATCCCGCACACGGAAAACTTTTGCAACAAGTTCATGGTGGTTGGTGCATTATCTGGTCGTGGTGTCCTCCCACTTATCAAAGTTCCACAAAAAGTGAAGGTAACTACGAAGTACTTCATTGACGTTGTTTTAAAACCGCTTTTGGAGATTCATGTCCCAAAACCATATGGTAAGGACACAAAAAAAGTGATAGTTCATCACGGCGCAGCGTCATCACACACCGCCCTTTTGACCCAGGATTACGCCAAGGACCTGAAAGCTAGACTCAGGACAACAATCATCCAAAATAGTGAAATGCCTGTTAAGTCACTCTATGTAAGTCCAATGGATTTATTCGGCTTTGGATATCTGAAACAAAATCTTTTCTCCGCCACCGAAAAACTTTTGACGGAGTTTGGAAAGTTATGGGAGACGAGTGGTCTAAAATTGACTTCGCCATGGTCAAATCAGTGTACAGAAGTTGAAATCGCCGATGCCGACTTGTAGCTCGAGAAAAGGGCTTTCACATAAAAAATGTTCGGGACCTAAACTCCAAGCCGTTCAACCAATAATTGAAGGTCAAAAACGTTCACGTGTTAGTGGCGGAGCCTCCGTAAAAGCCTTAAAAGCAATTAATAAGTAGTTAGCAGATTTTAGGATCTAGGTAGAAAGTCAGTTAGCATTTAAATAGTTAAAGCCAAAGTAGTTGTAGATCAACTACTTTTGAGTAGTTAATAGTAGTTATAAGTACAACACATTCCTAGTAAGTCATGCGATCCTGCGACAGTTAACACTAAGAATGACCTCCTTAAAACAGCCAATCCTCCATACGTCCTTTTGAGAGAAATCGGAAAGTTTTTGGCTTTGTGCTTAAGAAGGTATATACTCTATAACCTTTGTTCCAAGGCGAAAAAGCTGATAGGATTCGAACGTTAACGGCTCAAAATCAGAAGGACATTACGCAAGCGGGTGGGAAATCGTTAATTGGAGGGTTGCTGCGGAAAGTCAGATTGGTGGCTAAGAATGGAGAAAGATAAATCCCCGACGGGTTCGGTTCTCACCTACCCCAAAGGTATTATAAAAATTTTCTAACCAGATCGAACCCCACAGGTCATGGATCACATTACAGTTTAAGAGGTGATAGAGTAAAAGTGCAACCACCGTGAGGTGGTATTATTTTTTTATGATTTCGTGTTATGACATGGTATATATGTATGTACATACGTATATCATTATTATGGCTGGATGGTACTGATGTAGGTTGAGAATTTGGAGAATGAAAATTGTGGAGCGAGAATTGGTAGAAAGTGAGAATTGTGGAGTGAAAATTGTGGAGTGAAAATTGGTGCGGAGTGAGAATTGTCGAGTGAAAATTGTGGGGTGAGAATTGTTGGGTGAAAAAGTGCACACTAGCGATGAGAATATGCAAATGTACAGAGTAGAACTGACATACATACATATGTAAGGGGATTAGCCATCCTTTATAACATGAATACCCGAGATAAAGGGGAACAAACTTGATCAGAATTAGATGACACAGACTTTGCATACTTATGCAAATGATTATATTTATTACGGGTTTATGCCCAAATCTACTTAATGAATAATTACTTATCCACAAAAATCTTCAGATTATAGTTGTAACATTTTGAAAAACATCGTTTATCGCAGTATCAGATTTAATTGAATGTCCTGGTCCAGATCAGGGGTTAAGAATGGTTCCTGAATACAGAGCAATATTATGTTTAAGAACTTATCGAATTAATTAATCAAACCACTCAAACCTACCCAATTCAATTAAAATCTGCAGGGCTTGATCTCGATCAACCTTCTAGAAGATACACAGAGAAAGATAATGCAAAATCAGAGTTCTGAAAATCTATGACCTTCCCATTTTTTTTTACTTGTCCTTACCAGTATGCCCCACAAAATGTTGAAATAAGACCGAGCCCCCTCCGTTAGTAGGATTTCCCTAGCCCCAGCCTTCTCCGGGCTGTCGAATTCTTGCTTAAAAATCCCCGATTGAACTTCCCACTTGGTTTCGTCCCAAAAGATGCCATTATGCGTAAAGTTTTCGGCCCAGAGTCTGCACGAGTTGAAGCGAAGGGATGTTCCGATATCTGTCGCGATTGGGCGACCACCCTCCCCCACGGTTAGGTTCAGCCAAAGCTCGACATTCGTGAAGGTATGGGCGTACGCGCCATTGCCGCGATATCTGTCCCCTATACCCCAGGGGGAGGACTGATCGAGCCAAAGGTCGTACATCCCTTAATTTTTGAAAGAAGGATGATTAGTGTTTAATTATTTTGAATTGTACATACATAATTGTCCAAGTTTTGTTACAAAATAATTATAATTATTTAATAATTAAATATTTTTTATGAATTGTATTTTAGATTTTTACAATTTTACAGCTACAATTTATTTAAGTGCAGTATATGTACCAGCAGAGCGTCAATTTGTTAAATTAAACTTGTCCCAAATAATTTATTAAATTAAATTACTAAATTTTTTAAGTGGATAGTTTACCAGTCGAATTTACTTATTAATTGACTGTCTCACCTGTTAAATGTACTTGTGGAATTGTGAGGTGTATATTAGCCTGGTAAGTTTCAACATTCGCGTCAACGGATAGGACGGAGTTGACATATCCAAAAAGGAGGGGATCGCTATGGAAATATTTAGTACATAAATATGTAAATTGTTAGAAAGTAGCTAGATTTAATGCAAAGTTTTTATTTAATACAAAACTCACTACGTATTTGACTCCCCTGCTTGAAAAATTGACTGGTGGTTGTACGTAAAATTGTCAAATTTCATCGGATCCGGGATCGGGTTGCCCAGTAAGCTGGCGTCCAAGTTGGCAAAGAGCAACTGGAAAAATACTTGATTCACGTATTCGGACCGCTTGAAAAGAACTTTTATCAGTTCGGTGTCTAGAGATGGATGAAAAAAAATTTTTAAAGGAAATAAATTACAAGTAAAATAATTTTGGGATGTAGCTAGACCATATTCCATATTACAAATATGTGACCATATTTGTCCTGGCTAAATCTGGCACATTTTTTGCAAATTTTTTTTTCCATAATATCTAATGCTTGACGGTTCAGACATCATCGAATCTTTAAAAAAAGCCAGGAAAGGAAGTTAAGTAAATATTACATGCACCTTACTGGTATTTAGGTGCTAAAATCTACTTTTTCATCAATATTTTGGCGAAAAAGTGAGATAATTTAATTTTTTCCTACGATTAAAAACCGGGACATTTTCAGGACAGGTTTTGAAAATCGGGACGTATGGTCACCCTAGACGTAGCTTACTTTCACTCTGGCCAAGGGTTTGAGGAGCCAGCAGTGCCCCTAAGAACAGGAGGAGGAGTCCATTGATGCCCAACATTTTAAAAAAGTTATCGGTCGAAATTATACGCTTGTTTTGGGGGATTGGTTTGTCGTTTGAATGACAAGGTAGCCAAGTCTCGTTGTTTATATATTAGTATAAAAGAGAGATTACTGAAATAATTTTATTTATCTGCCTACGAGTTGTAGTTTAATTAATTATGGTGTCATGATTGGTCACGTCACCGCATTAAAGTGGTCCATCAACCTTGGTAATGATTGAAATCGTACCATATTTGAACAAAGCTCAAGTGAAGGGTTAAATTATTTTATCATTAACTTAGAAATAAAATTAATTATTTCATCATGCTAATATTCATTTGTATTGTATGGATGTGGGAAAAATACTACCATTTAGATTAGTTGACATTAACTAATATTTTTATTTGAGCCTTTATTTCTTGAAGTTTAAATTAGAGGTGTGTCGGACCGGGATTTTTTTATATCCGATCCAATCCGTTTCTTAAATATCAAAAAATATCCGATACAATCTATTTTATGGATTTTTTCAAAGGATTTTTTTTCAAATTTTGTTTATGGATATCCGATCCGGTCCGTGTCAAACGGATCCGGCCAGGCCTAATCCGTAAAAACGGATATCCGACTTAACTCAGGTTTCAAATCATTATTTGAATAGTAAGTAATACGATTCGTTCAACTACCTGAGCTCCAGGAAGTTATCATTTTATCAAAATTTACAGGCCTGATGGCCAAATTGCAGAATATGTAGATATAACCTGAACTTTAATCAAATATGGTGTGTTCTTTTCGTTATTCAGCAAACTGATTACGTCAATGCGTAGTCTCGAGCTGGGAGTTTGCAGAGCAATTAACGTTTCCATGTACATAGATAACCTGATGACACGTTATGCAATGCAAGGCTGGCAAAAACATGGAACATAATCTCATTGTATATCTTAATAAAACTTATCCGTTTTTGGACTTATTTATTTGACATGTATGTATTTGAGAATAAATGAAAGTACATACATACATAAGTACATACGTAATACATTTGATCTGAATTTTTAAGATATTCATTACAACGTCGTGAAGAATTGAGCTAAATAACAACGAATGAGTGGCCGATTTAGGATTCGGGAATTAGCGTAATGAATGATCAGCTAGTTAACTTAACCATGCATAAAAACAGGGCAGTGGCTACGTAGATAAATATATGTACATTTTTTCTTTGTATATATGTATGTACATATATATTTAAGGTTCCTTGCTTGGTTATCTTATAGCATTGTTAAGCTAAGGAGTACATTGTAGGACGCGTCCATGCAGCAGGTGATTAATTTTTGTGATTTATTAACAAATCAAGTTGAAAATTTTCATAATTGAAATCAACGTGATATGTACGCTACGAGAAATCCAGTATGAAAATAATGCCAAGCGGTATACATTTATGACTCTTCAAAAGTGGTATTGATAAGTAATACCGTGTAGTAATAGCTGACTAATAAAGTTTTAACATACCGGTAGGAAATTTTTGCAGACCGGTATAATTTTAATACCAAGCACTAGCAACCTTAATCAATACCAGATTTTTAACAATGAAAATATTTTATCCTATCAATTCCTCTATGCACGGCTCCCCAAAACTAAATGCTAAGATGTTTGATATGATATGTAAATATGAGACGATGTGACGAAATGACTCATGCACTCATGATTGTCAAGATTAAGGATTTTTTCAATCTCAATCCCAATCCTCGCACAAAATATTTCCTAAAATTGCTTCCAATTGTTTAGCTTATTTACCAGAAAATAAAATAAATTTTAAAATTACCAATGATGGAGACGAAACATTCCATCTTCTTCATTTTCCTCCTCTCCTCCCAACTAATCTCGACTTTAGTAACAAATAGAAAAGTGCGACTCGAAAATCTAAAATTTCTCGAAAAACTTGAAACTGGATTAAAAAATCAAATTTTACGACAAATTTTACGCCAGTGTACAAGCTGCCCTTGAGGATTCTGCCCACATGGAGAAGATCTTTGAATTTTTCGACTCAAGCGATTTTTCGAAAAATGAACCAGATTGGAATCGTGCCAAGGAGTTGGAGCATTTCAAAGCGGTCATGTCCAGTGAGGGGGATGAGGCAGAAAAATTCGCGTATTTGGAAATTGTCTTGAAGAAATTGGGAGTTCCGAGATTGAGTGAATTAGAAGAGATTTACACGATAAGTGAATCTCTCCAGTTTCTCGTGGATTATTACAAGAATGCTGTCCAGGTTTCAGATAAGGTAAAATAAAATGTTAACTTTAAGGCTATACGATTTAAGTTATTGCACTGTTGGGCATCGGATAGTCAGACGGGTATTGGTTTCTCGGTATTAAATTTGCTTTCGTTTGGTAATATTAGAATTTTACCGGTAAAAAAATTTGCTACAGATATGGTAAACCTTTAATACCGAGTTTTTACAACACGGTATGTCTTATTTATCACTACCATTTTTGTTTAGTCACATATGAATTCTGGTAGGTATATTATTTTAATACTGGATTTACAAGAGTGCATAAAATGAAATCGTATCTTTGATTCCAATCGATAAATGGAAGGTCAATTTACGAATATAATGTATGTAGGTTCTTAATTTGTTATTAAATTGCAAAATTATTTAAGTCTCCAAACTCGTCGCCTCTCTTACCTCAAAGTGCAGAAAGCTTGCAAATTTTATTCCAAGAACAGGAGAAATCTGTACAAATCCTTACATCCATTTGCGATGGGCACGAGGAATTACGAGAACGCGTCCAAAATAGAAAAATCGATGCAACATCGTTTTTTCAGGATTATGAAAACAGGGAAATCCAGCAATTTCAGAAATATCAAGCTCTCGCTGCCAGTGGTTTCGTAAGGAGAAAATTGCATGTTCTCTTAATTTTAAGACATACATATGTAATAATTAAAAAATAATGGCCAATTATTTCTTAAGGATGCCATGAAATCTGCAACCTCGAAAGACTCAGAAATTACTGTGATCGTCAAAGAGATGAACAATCTAAGTGAAATGACGAATATTGTGAAAAAGCACGCGTTTAATGTCAATTTACAAATCGGGCTTTCTATCTTCAAACCTGTCAAAGAAGGACAGCCCGTTAACTTGGACATTATGGAAAAGCTTACAAAATTCTACGTCACAATTGAGGGTCTCAGGAATATTGTTCTTGTAAGCGATTAAATCCTTTTTAATTTATGGTTGTTAAAATTTTCAAACTTTGTTCAAAAATTACCTATGAAGTTGACTGCTACTTTTGATAATGAATATTTAGGGGTTTCACGTCAAGTTTGTAATTAATTACGGAAGAAACTGCTTAGGTTTGTAAGTTTACAAACTTTTAACATGAATAATTTGCAAAATTTCTGAACTTTTTTTGTACTATTTACCAAAAAGATGCTTTGGAAGTGCATATACATAAGTTTCGTAAAATTTTATAAGTCAATTTTCCTTAGAAATGTTCATAAAAGTTTGTAAGCTCACAAACTTTACGAAGTTACAAACTTTGACGTGAGTTCCCTCATTAATGAACTATTTGTGACATACATATAGAATACTTCGTACCTTATCGGGACGAAATTTTACAGATGCAATTATTATTCTAATTCCCACAAATTACTTTTCCAGTTGGAGAAAGATTTCGCAAAGAGAGAACAATTGCGAGAAGACCTTCGCGTGGAGGAGCAACTTTTGGCCGATTTTCTGAACCAGGACGACACATCTGAGCAAATCCTTAACTTCATGGAAGGAACGAGCGCTTTCTTGACCAGGGCGTCTGAAAATGTGATATCGCTCGAAGCAATTGTAATAATTTATCTCAGAACAGTAATTGTAAAGTATGATTTGATTAATCATCTGCAATAATTTGCATTACAGCAAAAAGTCATATTGCAATATGTGAAAAAGATGGGCAAATTTGCAACACAAGCCAACCAACTAATGTCCAAATCTTCCGATCATTTGAAGAAAGTGGGAGAAATTTTTAAGAAATTAAACGAGGGCAAAGTTCGGACTGAATTTTAAACTTATACATTTACATATGTAATAAGTGCAGTTATAAAATCGACCGATTTATAGTATTCGCAATAAATTACGTAAAAGATCCATATCCTCAGAGTCACTTTCTTAAATAGCTGTTTTTACAGAGTTATGTACTCAGAGCTGGGATAATCCTGATTAAGGATTATGGATTTTAATCCCGGATTATGGATTATCAATCCATAATCCCTAATCCGGCAATGAGAGTTTTTTGTAGATTAATCCCAATCCATAATCCCGATTTTTCTGGAATTAGAATTAATCCGAGAATAATCCCATTATATGTCATTAATCCGTAATCGTGATTACGGATTACTAATCCTGATTAATCCCAATCATGATTACTAATTATTATTATTAATCCAGATTAATCTTAATCATGATTACGTATTCATGATTAATTCTCAATCTGGATTACTCGGTTCAATTCCCACAGTTCCATTTTATCCTACTGTGCAGCTTGAAATCTTAAGTTCTGACAACTTGGTCCTATCAGCTACCATTTTAAGAGTCAACATGTTCTCGCTGCCTTGTGCTACATATATAAATTGAAAGTTTCAATTTGAAACTAGCGTTTTAAAAATTTTATGCGAAACCACATAGTTGAAACTTGTTGCGCTAGATATACCTTTAGGTAGTGTAAAATGATTTTTACTAAAATCATTAATCACCAAATTAATCCGGATTATTAATCCATAATCCATAATCCTGAAATTTTATGGATTATGGATTAATCCGGATTAATCCTGACATGAATTAAGCTGACGAAAATAATTTAATCACAATGCACATTATTTTGTGGTTAATCCATAATCCTTAATCCACCCTCAAAAACCAATAATCACCCAGCTCTGTATGTACTTAATTATACCTACATAAATGACCAACTGATTTTATGAAATTAATTACAAATCCTGCAATTCACGTGTTCTACATAAATTATTGAACACTAAAATTAAAGTATAAGCTGTTTAAAGATTATGTCGACAAGTGTGTTTATGTCATTTGAGTTGCATAAATGAAGCCAAAAAATGCAAGTGCATGGAAGGTAGCAAACAAAGGAATTTTCACCATCCATCGGACAGTCAGCTGCTGCTTGCTGGCTCGCTCCACATCGAAAATCTAAATGAATATCAAATATTAACTTTTACGGTATTTTAATTATTGAAATTCAATTTACACTATTTGAAATATAATTGTTCTCATATCTTATCAAGGTGCCGATTTACCCGATAATTAATTATACAGTTTTATTTTTCAGGTCTGAATTAAAGCGAAATATTTGAACTGGTAATTTTATGTGTTTATATTTTTATTTTTAAGGTCTATGTACAATGTAGCTGTGATATCAAGAAATTTACCTTGAATTGGATCTCATCGCGGATATTACAATGATCTTCGAGTCGTACCAATAACACAAATAGGTAACAACTTTAAATCATAAATCTGGGATAATTAATTGCTAAAAAATGCCGACATAATCAAATTATTCAACCTTTCCCACAGATTTCTCCTCTAAAATCAAGTTATCATGGATGTCGTGATAATTGACCTCGTTTCGTCGTCCTCCGATTCAGAAGAAGACGTCGACCCCCCTCCACTTCTCCAAAATCTCCCCCAAAAACAAAACCACTGCTCTCTCCTGCCACACCATCACCGGTACATCTTCCACTCCATAGTCACCCAAAATTATGGTCAAGATTTCCCCCATTTGAGTCAAGAATTCGGAAAACTCACCCTTTCCTCCCAACTCCGTCAATTCCTCGTCGCCACGGCCCAGTCGCAAGAAGCGCTCGGAGTTAAGCACAAATTAATCCGGGATTTGACCTCGCACCTTAGAACAATCCTCCCCTCATGTCAAGTCCACCCTTTCGGCTCGTATTTTACCCAACTCTCTGAAGACTCGAGTGACCTTGACCTCTTCGTGTGGACGAGTAACGCCTCGATTTCGGGGGGAATTAGTAAATCCGCGGGGAAGAAGGTGCTAGAAGCAGTGACCAAATTATTGCAGAGATTACAAAATTTTTCTATTCGGGTCATCCCAATTCGACATGCGCGTGTTCCTATTGTTCGTTTCACGCATAAAAGTTCCCGAATCCAGTGTGACCTCTCGTTCGGGACGTTTTTAGCCGTGCGAAATTCTGAGCTGATCTCTTTTTATATGAAGCTTCATCCCGTGGTGGATATCATGATGAGATTCGTGCGATTCTGGGCGAACTTCCATGAGCTTAGTGGTTCCTTCAAGGTCAAGAATTACTGTTTGAATTTGCTCGTTCTGTTTTATTGTGGATGGAGGAAAATCGTGCCGACTTTGGGGGAGATTCAAGGTTTAGAAGGGGTCGAATCGGAGCATGAATTCGATGAGATTGAGGGTATGAAATACATAATTAATTATTTAATGTCGTCATCAAAATCAGCACATTTTGAATATTTTTTTGACTCTGGGAATTTACGTACTTCAAAATTCTAGAGGACAAATTTGTTAATTTTGACGATAACTTATCGAATCCTTGGTTAATAGTTTACTCAAATTGTACATATAATTTCGTAATCTAATCTATTTTTTTGTGAATATATTTGCAGGCTGGGAAACCCTAGTTCCGTGCCAAACTCGTCAAAATTTCGACCTTATCCAGTCCACGTTTCAGTCTCGTCTTCAAAATCTAAATGATCCTGTCTCCTTTACGACACACGTTCTCCACGAGCTTATCCATTTCTTCTCCTTCTACGCGGACATGCATTTCGAATCACATATTTTGGCCACAAACACGTCTGAAGTCGTGAGTAAAGAAGAATTTGCGTCACCACGACCACACACATCCTCCATCGCTGCCAGAATGTACCAAAATTGTCTGGGGACAAGAAATATATCGTCCAAACCCAAGGGAAAATCCAAGGAAAAACCGTTCCGGACAAACGCACCGCTTTGCGTCCAAGATCCATTCGCTCTTAACGTCAACGTGGGCGGACTAACGAATAAACCTTTGCTCCAACATTTTCAGCTCTGTTGTCGACAAACGGCTCTCTTACTGGGAAACGTGGAAAAGTTTGATACCTCAATTTTGGATATATTTCGCCCCATCAAGTTCATAGAACAAGATAATGGGAACAAATTCCCGAAGAAAGCAAGGTACATATGATCATAACTGTTCACATTCATTTATTTGATAGAGAAGGAATAAATTACGCAGTTAATTCTTGAATAATTTTTTCAAAATTTTTGAATTAACGAATATCAATATTTGATTCAATTTGTATTCATGAAGAATTTATGAATAATTTTATTCGTCATTCATTTTTCGCCCTAAGCTTATTATATGTACATGGTATGCATATTGAGAAATCCATGTAATATGGCAAATTTGAAATAAAATGAATAATATTGAATAAACATTTATCTCTTTTCAAATTTTGAATAAATGCATAATGAATTAATAATTTGTATTTATTTTATATTTGAATGAAGACATATTTTTTCAACAGGTACGATAAGGGAACGAATAAAAGAAGTGATGACTCCACTACTAAATCATTTGAAATGCTGCAAGAAATTTGTATCCTGACGAAGACTAAATATCCCCTGGTCATGGAAGGGGGCAAAATTTTTGACCTACCGATCCGACCAACATCTCCATTTGTGCGACAATTCGTCCATAGTGCGATACAAGTTTGGAACATTACGGCAAAATGTGACAATTGGAAATTGTTACAGAAACTTAAAATGCTCTGGGTCTCTTTCACAATGGATTTTATGACAAATTTCTTTACGAAGTGCTTCAAAATGGAGGAAATTCCAGATTCAAAATGTGACGACGGATGGTAAATAACCTACCACACTCTTAAAATAATGTTACCCTTTTGGAAAGTAAAATTACTCTGAATTCTAAATTAAGCAAACTATTCTAAAAACCCAGAGTAGCGTTAGCTTAATATATATAGAGTAAAGTTTGCTCTGGATACAGTTTATGTAGTTTATTTAATATAGAATTCAGAGTGTAGCTACTTTTGAAAAGGGTAACAATTATTTTCCAGAGTGCACAACTAATTTATTTTTACAACACTAGCAGTTAATAATCCATGGTTAACCTTGCTAGGGAAATTTATCCTACTTCATCATCCTCCTCATCTTCCACTGCCGCTGACCCCGTGAAATACCCTCTCGTTGTTTTCCATGAGGTGGAGGAAGCTTTCAAGACGTTTGACGTGTTACCACAAAAGTTTATCAGCGTTCCGATCGACGCCAGGGAAAACATATTTATCAAATTTGATGCACTCGATGAGATTAAGGCTGAAACACGATGTCGAATTTACCACTTTAAGACAAACTATTCCAATTTATTTTCACCTCGAGGAAGAGACGCTGTTAGAAAGGAGGTACAAAATTTATCCCAAAACCCACTCCAAGCCGAGGAACAAGTTAGTAACGCTATTATTGACGCAAGTCCTCCCCCTCAAAATGATAATGTGGAGATGAAAATGTACGTGAAATTGGACTCGACCATGGCGGAGGAACTACCCACGATGCACCTTGTTTTTCAAGGGGTATATAATGCGAAAAGTTTTAATTATTACCTTATAATTTTATACAGCTATTTGTAACGTGTTATTATTTGCAGAATGGTGATAAGCAAGATGAACACGTTTCAACGTTGACGTCCTTAGTATCAAAAATCCTTCCGGAATATGCCATCTATCGTTTGAGGAATTGGTTGGAGGCTACAAACTAATTGGACAAGCTTATTACGTCAAATTTACTGTCAGAAAAAAGATATATTAATTTTTTACCATAATCAAAATTTTTCTTGTTATAATTTACTTTCATTTTTGAAAGATTTCAATATGTGGAAATAACCTGTATTAAAATTAAATTAGATGCGTAAGATTATGTAGGTTAGAGATTAATTTTTGTACGACTCGGGTGCAGTCAAGTTGTCCGACAAGATTTTTGTGTACCTTTTATATACTTGGACTCTGCGATACATGAAACGACTTATAGTATTGGTAATAAATTGCGTAAAAATATCTAGATACGTATTTATTATGTATGTAAACCCCTATGACTTGTACGTACGCGAGTTAAACGTTGGTATAAGACATGATTTCTTGCCTGATTAAAAAGGCTGCTTAAGATTCCCCATAATTACAAATTTAAATTATGAATGATGCCTAATAATGGTGACGATACGTATATATGTTTATTATACATAGATACTGCAAACCGATTTTCTTGATGCGTTATCCTGCTTTACATACAGACAGAGTCTTCGCATAAAGTCGCTCAAGCTACTTAATAAACTGCAAAGCCCGAAATACAATTATTAGCTCACCCTGCGTAGCATGAGAGCTATTGAATTCCTCTTGTCCGTCCGTCCGTCTGTCTGTCTGTCTGTCTGTCTGTTCACGAGTTTTTTGCATCAATTGATGCTAATTAATAATCCCCTTGTCCATTATTGAAAAAGTTAGTCCCACCATTGGCATCAAATAATTCGTAACGCAAATGGTGCGAATTAATTCGGAAAATCGATCGAGAAAAAACTACAATTTTAGAATAAATAGCACCGTTAGTATCGAACAATCGGTTATCCAAAATGATGCGAAACAATTGGGAGCATTGGCACAAAATGCACGAAAAGTGCAGAATAATTTGAGGAAATAATTTCAAAAACTTGACACCACAATTTCAAGGATTTCTGACAGAAATCGAAATTATGTCAAAATTAGATATTTATTTTGCCGCCTTATTCTATACTATTGGTGCAAATTATATCAAAATTATATACCTATTCGGTCCGATTATAATGCTCCATTGGAGCAAGACTATAGAAATTTTATACTTATGGTGTGCGCTTATTCGGCACCTTTGGTGCAAAGTTACATATATGCTTATTAATATTATAGGGTGAGCTACTTCTAACGTTACTACGGTTTATTTACACATATGTATGCATTTATTTTCAAAATCCGTGAGAAGATATGTATATATGAAGTAGATCGTCTACCTATATATTACTGGTACACAGGTAAGAGTATATGCTCTGAAACCATGAACAATTAAAAAATTTTCAATGGACAAGTCTCCTAAAAAGCTTTGTGTTTTAGAAGCCGATGCCCCATAAATCGATATCAATAATTAAAGCTGAATGCCTACTCGAATCAGAAAAATAATAATTTCTGTAGCACAATGCTTCAAATTCAAATGGGCGTGGGTTTTATGATTTCCATGACTTGATTTTCTGGACAAACCCAGAAACTGAGTACAGTGATGGAAATATGTGATTGATTGATTGATTTATTTATTTCAATGAGACACCCCAATGCTGGGTTATTACGCCTCAAGGTAAAAAAATTTGTCATTACAATAGGTAGAAGAAAACAAATATACAAATCATATTTACATACATTCAGTCATTTCATACAGAATTCACACACAAGGTTCGCTAATTGAGGGCTCAAAGGAAGAAACTCGACTGTGATGATATCCCACTTTCAGGGAGAACGAGGCATAAATTCTACTGTTACTTATTGTGGACTCTCGAAAAGATCTCTCGTGCGGTTCGTCGCTTGTGTCTTCACCCAGCGTCACTTTCTCCGTCAAGGACTTTCTCCAGCTCACCCGTAAACACCCTGCTCGACTCCTGAAAAATACTAAATACTAAATAAAATAAAAATAAAATACTAAATAATCCCGGACGATACTAATCTCCACATGTTGGAAACTGAGGATTGGCGGCTGGTAATTGAGAATTATTTTTTTTATATATTTTCACCAAAATTTGGTGGAAATGGTTGACTGAGATTGTACGCTTCAGTGAGTACTCCAACTTTCTCTGCTACAAAACTACGGACTTTCGCATCCTCCGCATCATTTGCTTTTATACCTTCCGATTGATTGATTGATTGATTTATAATGGGACCTTCAAAAAATTCCTGATCGGTTTGGACAGAACCAGTAAGTACTTTATCTTCTCCAACGAATGGGTCTCCTTCATACTTTAAAGCGCACCTGAACTTGAAATTTCCCTACAATTCTTGAAATTCCAACTTCAGAAAATTCGAGTGGTGAAAATGATGTCGGAGGAAATTATGGCAACCAGGTTACTCCAACCTCTCCCCGGCATCTGAAGTCCAAGTTCAAGGATTAAATTTTAGTGCATAATGTAAGCTGCAAGTTCGCATTTAAATTTTGAATTAATTAAGTAACGATTGCTCTCCTGCCAATCTTTGAGCGAAAAAAAGTTGAAAATTTTCCGCTTCATAACATGTATAATACGTGCTGTTATTTTTTTATTCGCATTAATTCCACTGATTTGCACAAATATTCCGTTTTTTTATATGGTTCCATTCTCATCACTGTTCAATCAACGAGAAATGTTGGTTGGGTAACACGACATTTGTGACACGGTGTACGTGTATGTATGTAGGCATTTCATCAAGCACTGCTTTTCCGAATCTACATACATATTTATCTAATCCTAAGTAAGGCGCCGTCCATAAATTACGTAACGCAAGAGGGGGGGAGGGGGGGTCTAAGGCTACAATGATATCGTGCCTATGTTACGCATGTTAAAGGGGGGAGGGGGTCTAGAAAATCGCGATTTTTGCGTTACGTAATTTATGGACGGCCCCTAAGGTAAATTAATCACCACTAAAAATCTGGAGTAAATTCACACATGCAGTGTACATGATTGGTTACAACGGCTTTTCTTACCATTCGGTGAAAATTTTTCAACATGCGGTAGCAGTTTATGTCCCAGTGGTTGTGTCAATTAATTACCACATTGGTTGCAATTTATTGCGTGTTGGTAATTTATTACCCGATAGTGTCAATTTATTAACGAGTGGTTGCAATTTAAGACCCACTTATGGAAAATTATTACCCACTGGTGGAAATTTATTCTACTATGGTGACAACGTATGTATTACCCGTGGTATATTTGTAAATTGTTTCCCCGACGTTGCTAAGTCTTACCCAGTATTGTCAATTTATTACCCCGTGGTGACAATCACGATGATGCTGCCGTTTTGCGATTTTTTTGCAGTCCACGTGTCCTAAAAGTTGCATACAATTTAATATTCGACGTTAAGCTAGTTAATGCTGCGTGCATAGATATGTAAAGGGTGGCCCAAATGTACCTCCCGATCATTTTTTTGCACGAGTTCAAGACAAAAATCGGTTGTCATTTCTGAACCAGTGAATATTTTAATTTGAAAATTTTACCATGAGGGGTCCATTACTAAGGGTTAATTATGAACATGATAAAGTTCAGACACAAACGTTACTTGAGCAATAATTAAAACACAAGAAAATTCAGAGAATTTTGGATGTGATAAGAAAGCAGTAAGGCTACGGAGTAAAAAAAATTTCTGTAGATACAAAAAATGGTCAGGGCAACGCAGGGAGATGTCGCCTACTACGAAAAGAATGATTAAGCCCAAGATTAATCAAAACCTGGAAGTTTGGCACTTAATTGTACAAAAGAGCAAAATTACTCAAAACACCTCAAATAAAAGAACATGAAACTTGGTCGTTATTCATCGCAGAAATTTGTGAAATGAACGAAATAGAATCACACGGTCTATAAGTTAGCCATTGAACCTCACATGACGCAACGGAACATTGAAAATAGTCCAGAATACGAGGAAGCAGTTAAAAAGACTTGTCATTTATGCGAAAAAATCAGGGTAAAGAATCCTGCAAGCATATCCTCTGAACTAATGAATCCCCGATCGAGTTATATCTGGTGATGAACACATAAAATGCACTGTACAAAACAGTCAAAAAATTGGATGTACCATCAATGCGGGTGCAGGAATTATGCTTGAAAGTTATAGTTGTCGGTGGTTTTCATGCGCGTGGCTTGACCACCCATGTCATTATTCCATAACGACAATATGACTATTAAGAATAATGTATAAGAAATAATACCTATACACTTTGATAGCACTAGTAGTAGTGAATTATTCCCAAATGCATGAAAATAAGTTTTCATACAGGGCCGTCCTCTAGCTGACGCATTAAATGCAAAATTGAGCTTGTTTAGTGGCAAGACTCAATGGTGTGGATCAAGGGGGCGTGGTCCGATAAAATTCCGGACATAGGTGTTTTCAAGAACCAATGGTCCATAGTTCAGGAGGATATGCACAAAGATCCAATACCACGCAAAACAATAGTGTTAGCGGTGAAAGTAGTAGAAATATGAAATTACATACCAAAAATAAGTTTTGAAAATTATCACAGAATTCCAAGAAAAGCATTGAGGACATTGTTAAGGTGAATAATTGAAAGACCAAACACTAAGGTATGTGCGAGAAAAAACTTTGATTCGTTGAGTCACATGGTTTTGAAAAATAGGCTGTAGTTCGATTGAAAGAAAAAGTCGGGAGATACATTTGGGCCACCCTTTAGATGCTGTCACTCTAAAATAAATAGTTGGCATGACCATCTCTAAATTAATTCCTCCCACGACTCCCACCACTACTTAAAGCAAGTAGGTCCATATTCATAGATCATTCCGAATTTGATCCGGAACGAGGTGAAGAGCAGTTTCGAAATCCAGACCAGGAAATATTCTCTCATTCGCTATGAAGTCATTTCTCGTAATTTTGGCTACCTTCCTTCTTGCCCAATTCTCCGCCCTGCCGGGATGCCAAGCAGGTCAGAATTTTTAATTACAGAAAATTATGTATTTCTCTCTCGCATAAATTATAAAATAGTCTGAGAAAATGATGGGATAATAGATTTTCTAAAAATCCCACAATCCTCGTGGCCAAAAATCCGGTGTAAATTTTCCCGCAGTAGTCGCATGTACTTAATTTGCACCCCACGCGCCAAAATGCGGGCAAGCTTATACCGACACGTGACAAGGGAACCTCCATCATCAATAAGGTGGACTGGTGGTTTTAGGTCATCTATTTTACTCGTGTGCGTGTTCTAAGAATCAGGTTTTTTGGTAGCGTACAACATGGACGTCCCCCTACACAGCATAATTTTACATTAAAGGGCACTTTCGTATCCCTTGCGTAGTAGTTTCTTTGCCTACTTGTATACAAACTTGACTCATTCAAAAATTTGTTTTACAGCAACTGATCCTCTCGTCGAAAATATCTTCGCAAATTTAGGTAAGTAATTCCATTAATTACTTACATATATTAGTCTTTGCATAACCGGTATGTCACGACGATAAATTTTTGTAACATATCTATTTGTTACCAATTTCAAGAAAAACTCCGTCAAGATGCCATCGCCAGTGTGGACAGTACGGCTAAAACCGCTGCCGCTGGGGTGACGTCCACTGTCACGTCGGAAACTGCCATTCTTAAAGAAATTTTGGGCACCACCCTCAATAAAATTAATGGAGTAATGCAGAACGTGACCAATTCTGCGGATGAGCTTGGTCACGATGCCGCCCTTGCGGTCGAGAAGGTGGGCATGTTGGTCAACCAAACAGTCAAAGGTTTCCAGGAAGCAGGGGACGTTGCCCTAGCCGAAATACGCGAAATTGCTGACGAATTTGTGACGCAAGTTAATGCTAATGTTAACAGCCAAATTGTCAAACTTTACGAGGATTTTCAAGCATGCACAAACGTATTGTGCAAGGTCGGCGTTATTAGCAGAGCTAGCAGCAACATACAAGATTTGCAAAAAGGTCTCGTTGCATTATCATTGGACGCACGTCAACAAATGGCGGAAGTACTTTCGACCTTCTCAACCAAACTTATAAATCAGGTCAGCTCGACGGTCGTGGAAGGGACTACGATTCTGAACGAGTTCCTCAACAGTGTGGCAAGCAAGGTTTTGGGAATCCAATAATTTATTATTATGGGCAAAAATTATGATTTCGGACCACACAATCTGACCAATATTCATAAAGTTGATGTAATACATACTTATAAATTTAGAAATATTTAAGTAGTTCAAAATTTGTGTGGGTATCAGGCGAATTTAATTGTCTTATTTGTAGCATGATTTGGAGCAAATAAATAAAAACGTTGTGAAATGTATACATACATACGTATGAAAAAGTGTATTGGCACAAACTTCGGCACTACATACATAATTGTGTATTCCTGCATAAACTGCGATAGTTGTATAAATATTTGGGCGACCAGTGCTTAACAATTATTTCTTTAAGAATTTCATAATCTCATTGCTAATTTAGTTATAATTATGTAAGCGTATTTAGTTTATGAACTTGTACCGTTTACATAAAAGACCGTAAAATCTTGAGCAGACATGGTAATAAAGAAATAATAATTAAACAATTTCCAACAATGGAGATCTCCTAGCGCATGCTCTACGATTTTGACAAAGCTATTGTTAATCGATTATGTATAACTCTAGCTAGTATAAAATTTGAGCAAAACACAATCTGCTAATGGTCATGTTTGGCGGAGATGTTACATCTAAAGAGGGGAAAATCCGCCCAAAATTTGAAAAATTTTACCCTTTCCAATTTACTGTCGGTTTTCTCCTCTTCGGGTGCAATTATCTCCTCCAAGCTAGCAAATTGGCGGATCTTGTATTTTGCAAATTCATGCATATTAAAAAAACTTGTGATCGATTGAGACTAGTTTGGTAAAAATTGGAGAGCATAGACCTCCATTGTACCTAAGCGCACGTATCGTAAGAAATCATGGCAACCAGGTTAATCCAACCTCTCCCAATCATCAGGAGTTCAAGTTCAAGGATTTTTTAAAGCTTGAGTAACACACAAACTGCAAGTTCGCATTTAAATTAGAAATGAATTGTATAACGTAACGCGTGCCAATCTCCTGCCAATCTTAGGGTTCAAATATGTATGTAAATATGTAAGTTGAACATTTTCAGCTTCATAATAGGCATGTGATACGTGCCGTTAAATTTTTATTAGTGGTATGAATTCCACTAATTTCCATAAATATTCCGATTCTTTAAGTTGGTTCAATTCTCAGGAGGGGAGCTTGCGAGGTTGATAATAACAGATCTTGATGCCCTTTGGATATGTGATAGGGTCTCATGAGTGTACTAAAACCCTGAAGTGGTTTGACTCCATGGCCACATTTGCGCCCGCCACACCCACTCAAAAATGCCCAAAAAACGCTTTCACTCCAGTTTTCACTCACTCAAATCCACGCCAAAAATCCAATTTTACTCGGATTTTGAAATTTCTTTCACCATTACGCTCCCAGATAGTTGCTTTCTTCAATCCAATATCAAACCCAATTTTTTCGAAATTTTTAGTATTTTTAAAATTTGAAATTCTGAATGAGGATTGTTGTAGTAATCAACAACAACTCAAATTACGCCTACGAAATAATCATCAGCAAAATTGAGTTTGACATTGGATTGAAGAAAGCAACTATCTGGGAGCGTAATGGTGAAAGAAATTTCAAAATCCGAGTAAAATTGGATTTCTGGCGTGGATTTGAGTGAGTGAAAACTGGAGTGAAAGCGTTTTTTGGGCATTTTTGAGTGGGTGTGGCGGGCGCAAATGTGGCCATGGAGTCAAACCACTTCAGGGTTTTAGTACATTCATGAGACCCTATCACATATCCAAAGGGCATCGAGATCTGTTATTATCAACCTCGCAAGCTCCCCTCCTCAGCAATGTCCGATCAAAGAGAAATGTTGGGTAACACGACCTTTCTGACATGGTGTATTATGTATTTAATCAAGTATTGATATTCGCATGAACACTGATATTATTACCAACCGGTGGCAATTCATATCCTGGTGGTGTCGTTTATTACCAGGTTGTGTCAATTTATTATCAGGTTGCAATTTATTAGGGCATTGGCAGTTTATTACCCAGCGGTAGAAGTTCAAAACCTGGTGTCAAATTATTACCTCGTGGTTTTAGTTTATTACCTAGTAGTGGCAATCATGTATATATTACACGGTATAAGTTTTTTACAAGGACGTTGCAAATTATTACCCGGTGTTAGAAATGTATTCTACTGTCGTGTCAATCTACATATTACTTAATGGTTTCAATTTATTAGTTTTTGCAATTTATTGCCTAGTGGTGTCAGTTTATTACCGAGTACGAGAAATTATAACTTGCCAGTGTCAATTTATTATCTTTTGGTTGCTATTTACAGATATTACCAAGTAGTGACAATTTATCTATTTCACGGTGGTATACATTTTTCACCAGGATTTGGAAAATCAGTACCCGTCGTGGCAATTTATTACCAGGTAGGTGATGACAATCACGATGATGTTCATTGCTGTTTTTCCAAGATTTTTTTTACAGTTGACAGTCAACATATCCACGTTTGGCCACCAAAGACGCATTTCTAATCGTTACATATGAGTAAATATGTGTGCGCAATGTACGTACTTATGTATAAGTATGCATGTACATACATACTTACATACTTGATATGACTCCTAAATATGGTAGTTGACATGACATGTTCACGGCTAAATTAATTCCTCCCAGGACTCCCTTCACTACTTAAAGAAGGAGGTACATACACATACATAGATCACTCTTAATTTGTAGTGAAGAGCAGTTTCGAAATCCAGACCAGGAAATATTCTCTCATTCGCCATGAAGTCATTTCTCGTAATTTTGGGTATCTTCCTTTTTAACCAATTCTTCGCCCTACCGGGATGTCAAGCAGGTCAGAATTTTTATTTACATGCAGACAGTGGCCGCGGACACGAGCGGACATTGTCCCCACGCTTCCTCGGCCTTACAGAATACGTCTATCTTTCTCTTTGAATTATTCTAATGAGCATATTGCATAAATGATCGGGATAGATTTTTTGAAAAAGGCCACCATCCCCGTATGAAAATTCGGATAAAGTTACCCAGTAAAGTCACATCCGCTAAACTTTTAATTTTCTGTATTTATAATTTTAACATACAAATTAACTAATGGTTATTCACGTCGCCAATCCACACAGTGTAAACTTTACACCCGATTTTTTGCAATGTACTCTCGTATCCCTCATGTAATTTATGCACGGTCTCTTATGTACAAACTTGTCTGATTCCATCTTTTTTACAGCACCTGCTTCTCTCGGCGACACTATCTCCGCCGATTTAGGTAATCCCAGTAATCAATTTTTACTTCATACTAATTTAAAGCCCGAATGAGGGCTATCGTAACAGCTGGGTCTGTCCGTCATGACGATATGCATGTAACATTTTTTTAAAGCACAAGCCCAAAGAGATGCCCTCGCCATCGTGAACATGGCCGCCAAAACTACGGTCCATGCTATGACGGCCATTGTTACGTCGGAAAAATCCATTCTGAACAAATATTTGGGTAGCACCCTCAATAAAATTGATGGTTTAATGCAGAACGCGACCCGTGCTGGGGTTGACCTGAGTGACGACGTCGAACTAGTTGTAAAGAATGTGACAACGCTAATCAAAAAAACAATCCAAGGATTCCAAGAAGCAGGGACCTATGCCGTTACTGCAGTTGCCCTTATTGCTCAAGAAAATGCTCGTCAGGTTAGTTCTAGTCTTAGCCAGGTAATGAAATTTGTACAGGAATTTGTATTTTGTACATGTTTGTGTGAGGACATTCTTGCCAAAGTTAGCTCCGAGAAAGAAAAGTGGAATATGAACTTAATAAGTTGTCATTGGAGGCAAGGAAAGAAATGACGGACTTGTTATTGGCCTTCTCAACCAAACTGGTGAATCAGGTCAGCTCGACGGTCACGGAAGGGGATAGGATTTTGTCCGAATTTATCAGAATTGTGACGAGTAAGGTTACCTAAGCTGGGAGGAATGTTTTGTTCCGGGTAAAAAATTGTGATTTCCGACCCCACAAACCAATATCAATAAATTGATGTAATAGACATTTCTAAATTTAGAAATATTTAACTAGTTCCAATTTTTTGTGGGTATCAGGCGAATTTAATTGTCTTGTTTGTAGCATGATTTGGAGCAAATAAATAAAAATGTTGTGCAATGTATGCGTATGAAAAAACGTTTTGGCACAAACTTCAGCCCTACATAATTTTGTATTCATGCATATCGCGATGGTTGTATAAGTATTTGAGTGACCAGTGCTTATCAATTATTTCTTTAAGAATTTGATAATTTCATTACTAATTTGTAATTATGCATGCGTATTTCGTTTATGAACTTATACCGTTTACATAAAAGGTCGTAAAATCTTGAACAGACAGGGTAATAAAGAAATAAACAATTTCCAACAATGGAGATCCCCTAGCGTATGTAATTATATGCAAACTTACAATTATTTAACTGCAAACAATATGGAATAACGGTACCATTCATACTTATATTCACATAACGACCAATGTAAAACTTTTGTCATTCTAGAACCCGATAAATTTGTCATCCATTTCCTACTACTTTATTGTTAATGGTCGATAATAAATGAATGATAGTCGATAGTCACGCAAATCTGGATAAAAATGATATTAAGTATTTATGTTCATTCATTGTTGTCAATTGTATTAAAAGTTTTGATGATAAAGAATGGTGTAAATATGTAGGTGCATACATATGTATGTACATACGTACAGACGAAGAATGGCAATGGCGGACATGGTTTTTTAAAATTGCATTTATGAAATAGTCTTGACAAGTTCTCGGTTTTGGACAATGACGCATTTTCCTCATTCTTACGTATCACAATGTTATAAAAATACCAGAAGACCTCTCCCATACTGTCTGCATTCATACATACATCAGGAAATTGGTACATACATACATATGTAAATATGTACATTCAGTTATAACAACTTAAATTAAATTATACACTTCTCTCGAAGTATTATGTATCTACTTTTTTATAAATTTCTAAGGAAATATGTACACGAATGTACTTATGCATAAAAATTGGTAAATTACGAATCATTAGTTGCCAGTAGCTCTTATGTGGGTACAAGTATGGAAATATCCTAGTAGAACATCAATATGTAATTTATACTCCCTAATTATTTACATGCATACATACATCCGATATTTCCTACATGTGTGCACACATACAATCTTTAAAAGATTATCAAATTTTAAGACGAGAAATGTGGGAAACATTTTCCATTATTGTATTTGTTTTCCTACTTATATTTCCCGAGCGAATTTTGCCATCAATTATTCTAGACCATCCCCTCCCAGAAAATTCCCCCCTTGTTCAACCCGCCATCCAAATCCGGGCCATAATTTCCTTCTTCCCCATGATCAAAGAGTTGAACATAATTGTCCAAAAATATTATTGGCCGGGAAGCTCACCAATTTTTCACCCCGTCGAAAACATCTACTCTGCTGAAGTTCTGCTTAACCTAATTATTCCCCAGGTACCACAAATAAGTTACACCTTTACCTACAAATATAGGTCTGAGATCCTACTAAATAACCCGAAACCGGACAGGGCCCGACAAGAGAATAAGCATCGCGCTGCGACAACCCCCCTTTTTCAAATTGTCTTCGGCACCATGCAAAATCCCAACTTGGAATCAATTATATCCAATAAATTTCGCATTTCGAGGGACATTTTGATCATCGTGACTAACTGGCCAGGCTTCGACCATACAACCCACACATTTTTCAAGCCTTATCCAAACTATATTCCGAAACACTGTTATTTTCTCGCGAACCAGAAATCGTACAAATTGTTACCTTACTTGTCCCAAATACGAGTTGCAAATGAATATCCGGCAGAATTAAGGACCGTTTGGACTGAGACGGATCTTACCAACGTTTCATATTCGACCAAACTTGGCACAAATTTAAAAAACTTTGTATTTTTCGTGAGAATCTTCCTTCAACCGAAAGGCGGTTGTACGACGGGACGTGGTTCCATCTCGCTATGGACGGGCGCATCCGAGCGGGACATTCTAATCTGCGATATCACAGCGAGACTCAATTTGACCACGGTGACAGTCGAACGATACGAGTTCGCCTCTTTTTTCACGAATCTTTATAATCCCCTGTTTAGCCCGACGGACATGTTTTTTACAGGACACAGCACTAAAACAGGGTTCCTAGTTCCGGTGGACCTGCAACATAACTTGGACTTCGAAGGGATTCTGGGACCAATTGGGATCGAAGTGTTACTTTGGACGGTAGGGTGTGGTTTTGTGGTGACGTTATTTTTCTGCTTCAGTGCAAAGTTTAGTGTTAGGAAGTTGGGAGTCTTTTACTCGATTGAGTTAGTTATTCGGCCACTTTTAGATCAATGCCAGGAAAAGCTAAAATATACCGAGAACTTTTTCCGGATTGTGGTTTCTCCCTGGTTATTTTATTGTTTGATTATTTCCGAAACTTATCGGGGTGAGTTGGTCAGCTATTTGGTTCACCCGCCGAAAGGAGAAGCGCCAGAAACGTTCAAGTAAGAGAGAAACGCGTATATGAAAATTTCGGACTCGGTGTCAATTTACGTATACCCAACAATTCGTAGTCAACAATTCACACTCTGTACCAATTCGCACCCGACAATTTGCACTCTGCCAACTCGCACATACTTACATACTAATTCGTACTCCGTATCGAAATACTCCAGTCATAAAAAATGCCCCCGTCGAAGCTCTGACTACTCGGCATTATCTATTTTCCATATCACACCACTAAAGGGGGACAAAAACACGTGAATTATTGGGTGCCAATTGTTGGGCATAAAATGTCCTACCGGGTAAATTTGATTTTCTACTTTTAGAGACCTCGTGATTTCTAATCGTCCCATATTCGCGCCAGGATTCATCTCCCCGCCCAACGGTTCAATGGGAATACAAATTAGTAACACAAGGATGAACTGTTCCTTCTTTCTCGGAAACTTTGAAGTATACAGAGATCTAAATGTAGAGGCGTTACACACTGGAAACAAAGTTTACACCAAAATCATGTCATCCCTCAGGCATTGCGACGGGAAAGGATTCGTCGCCAAACAATCTGCCCAAGTGAGACGACTTCTCGAAACTGAGCATGTTCTCATTCATCACACCGCAGAACTTGAGAAAATTGAGATTATGGCGACATTTGCTGGGACGTTTTTAGACAGGCAGAAGGACTTCAGAATATCTGAAGAGACTCTGATGCATCCGATATACACCGGAGTATCTAACGACCTTCTACAACCGGAAGTTCTTAATATCCTAAATATTTTCAGAGATGCGGGAATGTTTGAGTATTCCCGCCGGGTAGAGGAGTGTCTAGGATTTATGAAGTTTTGGGGATCATGGCGTAAACGAGGGGAGGGCGGGTTGGTGGACGATTTAAAAAACGCGGGTGTTTATTTAGGCCGTGGAGATGAAGAGTTCGCTGAGGATGGGCCGGTGAAGTTAAACATGGGGCATGTCGAGACTATGCTTGCGCTCTGTTTTATGATGGAGTTTGTTTGCTTGGGTTTGTTTTGTGGGGAAATTTGCGTTGTAAGGGTTAGGTTAAATAAGTCTAGAGTTTCCCCAATTTTATAGTTTTGACTGTTAATAGATATTTAATAATTAAAGTTCAAATATAAATGAAATATTTATTGGATTCAGGTTCATTATTTTTATTTAATTAGTATTTATCTACATACTTAAATTACAAGCAAAAATTAGAGATCTCTAGTTACGCGATATGTTTAAACATTTACCGATATTTATGGATATTTATGTGGCTAATTAGTTTTTCCTAACATTAAAATTTTTATTGTACTTTTAAGAATTTATCTGTTTAATTCTGTATCATTTAGCTAAATAAAGATTATACCTCTTTAACGCACATTCCACCCTAATAAATAGGAATAATATGTATTTAGTAAATATTCATTCATTTGATTCATTTCAAAATAATATATATTTAATATATGTCTTGCAATTATATTTTTCTGAAATTTTTTAATGAAACGATCAATCAAATAATTCCCGTACATATTCCTCCCCTCCCACAAAAACACAATCCCACTAACCCCCATAATCCCGGCACACAAGTAGAAAACGAACTTTACCACTTTCATCGATACTGGCACCGCTTCATAAAATACCACTGAAGTTTTCGCATTTGCCATTTTGTTCCGTACAAATTTGGCACTTGTCTCGCCTCCATGTTCCCACATGAAGCTTGCAACATGCCTCAGTTCAGATAAGGACTCCCACCTCGCACTAATCCCAGCCTCAATCAAGCTATTGAACGAAATCGACATGAATTCTGAGACAAAGTTTGGTGACAAATGATCTACAATAATCGTTCGAAATGGCGTTTCTTCCCGCCCTACGGTGATAAATTTCTGTCCAAAAATTCCAATAAGTTCCCCCAAGACGGAAATCACTTCTTTCGTGTCCATCACCGCAAATCGATGAGCTGTACGAAGGACGGAGTTATTAGAGTGTCTAGTCCGGATATCCTCCGAGTTTGAGATTACCCGGGAAATGTTTAAGGTTGTTATGTCGTCCCTATCTATAAACAATACTCTGTCTAAGAGTGCCCCGAATTTTGCCGAAAACGAAGCGGTAACTTCCCGGATTAAGTGTGATTCCACGATCCAACTTGACGATGTCGTGGTGCTTCGAGAAAATAGGGTTGATCTTGTCAGCACGGGGAGATTTGATATTAGTAATTCGTCCATACTTTGGGGTACCCTGGGTGGCATAGGCACCGCCAAATGGGACAGAATCGAGCCCTGGTACAAGTTGAACATGAGAATGTAGCAACTCCAGAACCATCCGGTCAACAAAAATGCGGCAACCAGTCTGGATTTGAAAAGGTGTAGCAGATTACCCCCAGATTGCCCGAGAAGCAGGGAGATTACCCGGATAAAATGAGATATTGCTAGAATGGCGCCATTTCGATTTGAAATTGTCATCACAACAGTAACTGCTACCGCACATATGCCGATAGCTAACCAAGTGGGGAAATCGAAAGGAAGTAGAAACACGGCGAAACTGTCCATCACATTTGGCAAATTGGTAACTACGGCGAATCTAAAATTTGCAAAGGCGACGGAATGTATGGAGCGTATACTGGACTCGTCGGATAAAGTATCCTTGACTAAAATAGCGTTGAAACTTGCGAATCCCACCGAATTTTGAGAATAGTCTTCTCCATTCGCCACTCTGGCTATTACTGTGGTGAAATTAAATTTCTGGCTTAACGCGATCACTTTACACACGCTGGGATGAAAGGATTCGTCAAAGGTGAAGAGGTCCGGGCCACACTGGAGTTTTGAGGGACTATAATAGAATTATGGAATAGTTTTAAAATTAGCTTTGGAAGGAGCAACATAAGACTTCTAGAGAGAACAAAATTGAGTACAAATTCCTTCTGCTTAAGAACACAAAATTCTTTAAAATTCGCAATTTTCAAAAATATCTTCAAGACATTTTATTAACATCTTCTGATCTTTTTTACTTTATGAAACTCACTTCCTCTGTACGAGACGTATTATCATAGACTTTTAAATAAATTACTGATAATCTTACCATGTCTCTCCGCGTTCCGCAGGTGTCCAAAATATCAAGTTTTTTCCTTGCATGTTTGAATTCTTTTTGTACCATGCGACCCAAATGTCTTTCAGGGATGAAAAATTTACCTGTCCTACCAACGATTCCTCCGTTTCGTTGCACACTATACAGGGAATGTGGTACACAAATTGCGTAGAATTAGTCTCTTCGAAAAATACCAATATCGAACGTGCCATCGAGTCTGTGTTCTCTTTATAGTACTTCAAGATTAGGGGATAATCCTCAATCTTTGCGAATATATAAGCTGAATTTGTATGCCGCAATATCCCCCAAACAATTACTTTATGAAGGTATTCATTCCAAAACTTTTTGGGAGACTTAATTGATGGAAAAATAATTAAATTATGGGATGATTTTAGCCCTAAATTAGTATGAAATATTAAACTCGTTTCATTCACGACTGTACCCCCAGCAATGACCAAAACGTCTAAAATGAGTGGAACGATGATGGTAGAATGCAGTGCAAAGTGGGGGAAATGATCTTCAAAGGAAAAAGATTCAAATTGTGAATCGGTGGCGAGGAGGAGATAAAAAGTGCAGATTTCCTGCGTGCAAAATAGATTTGACGACATTGTCAATTTATGTATACAAAAAACGAAGCAATGATAACAAATAAATAAATTCTTAGTTATCCAACTAAAAAAAACACAGTTTGGAATAGAGACATTGAGAACAATTGACTGGCCACGATTGAGTAAGCATTTAATTTAACAAAGTGCTCACCTGGAACTGTTTGGGTATATTTAAATTATATGAAAGTTTGTTTATTTTGATCTCCACCACCCTTGACATTTAATTGGGAATGGTTCATGAGTGCCTTAAAATATTAGAATGTTATATGTGTACGTACTATTTATGCACGTGCCTATCCGTACATTGGTACATAAGTACATAAAGTGGAATTATTTGTGCGTGCCACCTTACATATTTGCATATTTTGACACATTCGCGAGAGACAAAGTTTATTCAACATGGAAAGCCCATATCGCTGAAAATCGGCATAGTGAGATTTATGCGAATGAAGTAACATGCACAAATAATTCCACTGTTCTATATATATAGTTATTAAATTCCTTCAAAATTATAAACAATGGGCGTATTCGCAATTGTTTTTGTACCCTTACATATACACATACATAGTATCAAAAATAATTTAGGAAGAAAAAAGAGTGCAGAAAGAGAGAATTTTTATGATACAAGTCTACAACGGTAACAAAATCTCGTTACCGTCGTAACTTATTTTAAGATACTAAGGATTCGAGGAAATGATGAATACCCTCAATGAAAAATTTCATATCCCGTGTTTTTAGCATTATGTTGTTAATAATATTATGTACATTTTTAGCACTGGAAAGCATCAACATACGACAATTTATTGTTCCTCAATTTTTTATAATTTCATCAAATTTTCGGCTATTCTAATCTCATCGAAAATATATTGATTTACATAAATACAACAATATCAAAATGGAATCTTCAATTTTTTAAACACCATTTGTTGCACCGTAAATACTCCGGTACCTCCCAAATATCCCGCTGTTCCAAAAAATATTTCATGCTCTATAAAAACCGCATTGTCATACTTCACATTGCCCCAATTCTTCCTCAACCGCTGCGCCATTTCCGGCCCGCATTTTGCCATGTCCTCCGTCATATCGGTGTAACTCTCCAGACTGAAATATTTCTCGGAAATGGAGAAAATTTCATTCAGCCCGAGAATGCAGTGCCCAGGGAAAATTTTCTGCATGAATCGCATCGACTTGGGTTGTCCCGGTCTCACCGAGAAATCTTGCAGCACACAAATCCCGCCGGGTTTCAGCCAGGTGTGTAATTTTCTGAAAAATTCGTTCAAATTGTGTCTCCCGACGTGGAACATTATCTCAATTCCGATGATCCTATCAAATTTCCCGGGTTCCTTTAAATCCCGCCAGTCAACCTCTTGAATTTCGACGGATTTGAGATGCCCGCACATTTCCTTGGCGTGAGCCGCCATTTCGGACGAATTTGTTATCCCGACGACATTAACGTCATGTTTTTCTGCGAGGAAGCGACTCATCCCGCCGAATCCGCAGCCTAAATCGAGTACCCGCATGCCGGGGGAAAGTTGAAGTTTTTCGGCGTGAAATTCCATTTTGTGGATTTGCGCTTCGTCAAAATTTTTCGCACCGCGGGCGTAGTACGGGATCGAGTAGAGAAGATTAGGATCCAGGAAGGTGGAGAAAAAATCTTTGCCTGCATAAAAAAATTGTTAGGATTAAGTTTTACATTCTAGGCTTTTTTTGAAATTTTTGTTTCTGATTATTCAGAATAATTATGTATGTATGTTATTTTGTATTAACAAGCGAGATAAAAGTCCTATAAAATTAAGAACTCATGTATTGCGTGGGGGCAAATCTTATAGCATTTTTGTAAATTCAAAAACTCGAAATTTAATTTTCGAAATTCATATATTATTTTTTGTTAAATTCTTCGTTTGAGAAAACCGGAACGCAGACTAACAGAAGCTTATCTTTTCGAATTCATTTATTCAGCATATAATGGACATATTATTCATTCATTATTCATAAATTCATAAGTGCATACCATAGTTGATTTTTTTAATTTTAAAGGAATGAATATTAAATAAATATTTCTTCGTTTCATATTTATTCATGAAGAATATTTATTTAAGTGAACAACTTTATTCATTTTCTATTTTTTACGCTATTCTTACTACACGGGATGACTTGAGAAATTGATCTAAGAAGACGAAGTTGAGATAAAATGTGTAAAAAAATTAATAATTAATGTTTTGTAATCTTACCAAAAAAATCATTCTTGAATGAATTTTTTTTCTAATAGTTAAATACCCGAATTATAAAACTTGTCCAAGTTTTGCACTTACCCAAGTTATACGCATAATTGCAAAACGTACTGGCCCTCTCTTTACTCTGAATATTGAACACATCCCATCTCAAGTGGTACAACGGGAAGAAGGGGCCTGGCTCCAAAAATCTAAATTTCTTGAGCAGCCCCACATTCAGGAATAATTGATGGGTCAAATTGTCTAAATTATTCGGCCTCCACCACCCAAATTTTCCCCACGCGTCCGTCGCCCCCACCATCCCGTGCGACGCGATGTATGCATACGCCCGCCAGTCAGTTATTACAATATCACATTTTTTATCCCCGTTAATTCGTATGTTAAATTTCGCCAGGATTTTTTTCGCAATAAATCGGATAATCGGGGTAAAAGGGATGAAAACGATGTATAAACTAAATTCGCAAAAAACGATAAGAAAATCTAACAAGTGGAGGAATCCTGTAATTAAAAAATCCATGTTTGCAAAATTTTTGCAACCTTTCAGGGCAAGTTCTCCGGTGCGATTGAAATTAAACCGATCCAGACGGGAGGAAGAGAGATACATTTTTCTGCAAAAACTTAATTTTTACAGACACGCTACTACTTGACGCATGCAATTATTTACATGATACCATTGTGCAAAACTTGCACAGCAAGTTTTATGCATGTATGAAAGTGAATGAGAAAATACACATTCATAGATTTCCAAGATTTACGACGTCAGACGGGGCAGGGGAATGAAACTTGAGGATAAAGAAGCTATCAACTTTTTTGCGGAGAACTGGTTTACTTTGCCTTTAACCTGATACATATGTACATATGTAGTAATTATTTACTTTTTTGAGACAATTATTCTCGTTAGTTAAATCACAATGGGTGGTATAGTTTCCTCTAGTTAAATTAAATCCACCTGGATAAATACACTGTTATTCATTCAGGTAGGTATTGATTTCTCGGTGTTAAATTTGCTACCGTATGATATTAAAATTGCACCCGTGTGTAAAAAAAATTTGATAAATATGTACATACACGGTGAAACTTTAACACGACCTATTACTACACCTTATTACTTGTTAATACCATTTTGGTAAATATATTAATACAGCATGATATTATTTTAATACTGGATTTTTTAGAGTGTATTCATACACATATGATTGAAATATTTAAGTGAAAATCTTTACCTTACATTTTTTTTTACCTGGTAATGTATTTTGTAAACCGTACATATTTAAATATGTACATATGTATGTATTTATGTATCTTATTGTTAGCCTAGTTTAAAGGGAAGAAGGAAAATATATTTAATTAAGTTAGTTTATGTGAGACCTGATTATGGTCTTGGGATTCAGTGGTTCAATAATATGTCGGGTTCAGTAATTAATTAATGCATTACGTAATCACGGATAAGAAAGGATAATAGCATATATTTACTCATTAAATTGTGCTGCTTCTGGTTAATAGTTTTATGCGACATTTTGCAGCTTAAACTGGTGCTTCGGATTATATTTACTAACTCTATGATAAATTCGTGGATATTTTATTCCAGGGTTTGTGAATTGCATATCTAAGGATAAACCGCATGCATGCATATGTAAATATGTATGTAACGTGTATGGTTTACGGAACTGTGTACATATGTACATTCATACATAACCAGTCGTCAGCACATTTATGTACAGATTCATACTTCGTAAATTGAACAAAATAATATAAGTAGATTGTCAAGTTTTAGACGCTTGATGTTCTGATTACGCAAAACTTTTGCTTGACAGGGGTGGGATTACTTTGCAAAAATTTACTACCCTAAACTAGAGACCATTTTTTATTTCATAAAATATGTAGCTCTGCAAACTCATCAGAAGTCATGTAAAGTATATATTTATAGAAGTCCATGAAAATTAAATAAATAAGATGACAAATCTGTCGTGCAAGTGGCTCTGCCAAATTTTCGCAATATCATATTATTAAAATCCTCCATTGACACAAATTTTTTGCGCTTTCGCAAATTGGCTAACTGATCTGCGACGCTAGCTAGAATAAGACGTTGTCGTCTTAAACATATTCCTCAAAGGATGAAATTCTCTAAAAAGCAGTCTAACCTTTTTTTAAAATGGTAGCTAATAAATTAGTCATAATATTGTTGCCTAGAGTACGGATTACAAATAAGTAAATATGTATTCTGAGAAATAGAGGAGAGACTTGTCTTGCATTTGCTTCTGTCCACAACTACGGTCACACAGACAGGGATAAGATTTAATCAATTATGTATGTTCATAAGCCTTCCTCAAGGTATAAATCTACTTGGTAGACAGGAGAATAATGGGGAATAGACAGGACGCTGAAAGATATGATCTGGATTTTAATTTTAACAGGAACGGGTTCCCTGAAATCGAACCTGTCTGGATGATAAGACATACATTTTAAAATGCATCATTACGTCAGAGACTCGCAAAGTCAGGTAGGCGTAATTAGCAATGAAACAGTTTACCGAACTTATGTAATAGAAACCTACAACATTTATGTAATATGTACATACATTTAATCATGTAAACTTTTTTATCACGACCTGGTGACGCTAGTATCCATCCAAGAAGAGTATTTATACCTATGTAAGTATGTAACGCTTATGACACGAATGGACAGGATGCACATGTAACGATGGAAACTTTATTTTATATAATTAATTAGTCAAAGTAGGGCATAAGTTAGTGCTTATTCCAACTCGACTGTAATGAGACATGCTGGCCTTTGGTCTTGGCAATCCAGACACCTTGATGACCCCGTCTGAATCCAGTAATTTTTAAGACATGCTACTGCCTCACCTTAATCTTAAATAATTCACAAAGAAGAAGGGTACAGTTCATTCTCCGCTACATATGTGAGCTAACTTCGCATTACCTGAAAATGATGGAATTTTTCAGGTATCATTTGTCAGTCCAGTCCAGATGTACATAGTTAGCGTTACATAGTATTAGTTTTACAAATTTAAACCTTAACAGAGCATGATTTTATGATAGTGGTTTTTTAGTTAGCCATTTTTGCTTTTTAGTCACACATGCTTGATTAATAAATAAATAAACATAGCGCATATCGTTATTTTTTACATAGTGGAATTTTCCAAAGTCGGTATCAAGATGTATATCTATTTATGATAACATTGATAAAATTCATGGCTGCCAAAAAATAACTTTGGATTTAAAATATTTGCGAACAAAAACCTCGCAATAACCTGTAATGTGATTTTTATTCGTGCATGACACGATTTTAAACCTTAACTTAAAAGTTAATTGTTGAATTGGGTTGTTTATATTGCAGCCCATCTAATAAATCTTATCAAGTATACATCTGTACATGCATATTATAAATTTAAGAAGTTTCATAATTTTTATTTTTCGAAAAATAATTCATTGAGAATACAAATTCATTCAATAATCTCGGCCAGATTTGGAGAGGGAGGATAAAACAAAAACTTTTCATAGATAGGCATAGCCATGAGAAAATTTGCAGACATGTGTTCCACAAATCTACATACATAGGTTTGCTAAAAGTGATTTTAACACGTAGAATTTTGCACATTGCTTAAAAGCAATATACATATTGAGCATCGCATACTAAATTTTGGGATAGTTAAACTCTCTACGCACCTACATAAAGAGTAAATATGCCTAGCTACTTAAACGATATTTATGCATAAATACATACAAATAAATCCTCCAGTATTAAAATGGATCCTTTAATTTTTTGAACACCATTTGTTGCGCCGAAAATATTCTGGTAGCTCCCAAACATCCCGTCATTCCATAAAATATTTCGTGCATTTTAAAAATCGTGTCGTCATATTTTACCGTGGACCAATTTTTCCTCAATCCCTGCAACATATCCGGCACGTATTTTTCCATGTCGTCCGTCAGGTCTAAATATCCTTCCAGGCTGAAATATTTTTCTGAAACAGAGAAAATGTCGTCCAGCCGAAGAACACAATGCCCGGGGAAAAAATTCTGCAGGAACCGCATCGACCTCGGTTGTCCCGGTCTCACAGAAAAATCTTGCAGCACACAAATTCCACCGGGTTTTAGGCAGTTGTGTAATTTTCTAAAAAATTCGTCCAAATTGTGTCTTCCGATGTGAAACATTATCTCAATTCCGATGATTCTATCAAATTTCCCGGGTTCGTTTAAATCGCGCCAGTCAACCTCTTGAATTTCGACGGATTTGAGCTGCCCGCACATTTCTTTGGCGTGTGCCGCCATTTCGGACGAATTTGTTATCCCGACAACGTTCACGTCATATTTTTCTGCGAGGAAGCGACTCATCCCGCCGAATCCGCAACCCAAATCGAGTACCCGCATGCCGGGGGTAAGCTGAAGTTTTTCGGCGGTAAGTTCGATTTTGTGGATTTGGGCTTCTTCTAGCGTTTTAGCACCGCGGGCGTAATACGGCACCGAGTAGAGGAAAGATGAGTCGAGGAAGATTGCGAAAAAATCCTTGCCTTCAGAAAAAAAACATATTATTTCTGAGTTAAGTTTTCAAGTTTATGAAATGCATGAATTTTGAATGTATTTCGCTTCTCAGAAATTCCAGTATCTTTAGTTGATTTAAATAAACAATGGAGACACAATTGCTACAGTAAGAATTTTTGTAAATTCCGAAATTCTAGAAGTAAAGAATTAAATTATCGAGGCATATTTATTTTTTTGAAATTTTGCCAATATATTACATACAACATAAATATGTGAGAAAACTAGAATTTTATCAACGCCTCAAATTGCTTTGCATGTGCAGTGCACCATGTTAATAAATTGTACAAGTTTTATACGTACCCAAATTATACGCCGAATTACAAAACGTCTTGGACCTCTTTTTACTCTGAATATTGAACACATTCCATCTCAGGTGATACAACAGGGCACACGGACCGGGCTCTAAAAATCTAAATTTTCTCAGGAGTCCAGCATTTTTGTACAATTGGTGAGTCAAATTGTCAAAATTATTCGGCCTCCACCACCCAAATTTTATCCAGGTGTCGGTCGCCCCGACAAATCCGTGCGACGCGATGTATGCATACGCCCGCCAATTAATTATCGTAATATCACATTTTTCATCTCCATTAATTCGTATGTTAAATTTCGCCAGGATCTTTTTCGCAATAGATCGAATAATCGGAGTAAAAGGGATGAAAACCAGGTATAAACCGAATTCGCAAATATTAATGAGAATATCGATCAAGTGGAGAAATACGGTTATTAAAAAATCCATGGCTTAATGACCACAATAGTTTACAAAATTTTAAATTCGATGTATTCAGTACAAGTTGTCCGGTACGATTAAACTCATCCGAACCTTAAGTCAAGACATTTTTATACAAATAATTTTATTTTTGAAAACACGTCATTGATATCTTAGATAATTAAAACATGTCATTATGCTTATCATTTCGTATGCAGGTACATCCACCCATGAATGCACTTATAAGACTTATAAGATTGCCAGGCTTTAAGACGTCAGACAGACGGGGAACGGAATTTGAGGATAAGCTGCATGTGGTTTGTGTACCTTATAACTTGAAACATATATGTACCCAGGTAATTTTTGAAATTATTTGCTTTTTGATTCTCGTTGGTTAAATCCCAATGAGAGGTGTTTTCCTCTGGTAAAATGAAAATGGCCTGCATATTGACATATATGTATGTATGTGATTGATACAGGTATGTAAGTGAAAATCTTGACGTCATTGTTGCCTCGTAAGGTAGTAAGGGAACGTCCATATATTATGTACGTTATCAAAATATTTAACATCGATTTTTAAACTGCCCATCAATGTACCACCTCCCCATCCTACTCATGTTATGCCAGCCATTAGAAATATACATGTACATACATAACACCCAAAACCTCCCACCCACATTTTGTATAACGTAGCATATGGACGTTCCCTATGATATATGAATATCTGGATCTGAACCTCGTTTAAACGGAAGAAGGAAAATAATTTATGTTATAGGAACAAAAGGAAAAATTGGTCAGCATACTCTGAAAATCAGTCCGATCAGTCCCAACTAAATTAGCTACAATATTGTTATGGTACTGATTGATTTTCCATTAATTTTTGTACATATGTAAATAAATATGTATTATATGAAAAATAGTTTTAATGCATTTGGTTCTGTCCACAAGTCCGTTCACACAGACAGGGATAAGATTTAGTCAATTATGTGTATCATTACCGTTCTTTAAGGTACACATCTATTAAACGTAAATCTATTCAGTATCCAGGAGGAAGAATGGTACATAAAAATACAGGATGCACATTAACGATGGCATGTTGGTTTTATGATAATTAATTAATTAGTCAATGCCGGGAATGAGGTGGAGTCTCCAACTCAACCACATATGTATCAGATAGGTTGGCGTACATCGACAATCTATTCAAGTTGGAGATGACGTCTGGGTGCAGAAATTTTCAAGACTGCCTCAGAAATTCCCACTTCAAATTCCCATTAAATGTTACTTTACTTCGAGAAACCTGAAAATTATGGCATTTTTCTTATGCCTTGTAAGTACTTATGCATGTAAATATGTAAGTCGAATAATGTTGCCAACTTGAAACGAATATGTAACAAAATTATACTGAAAAATAATAATAAAAATGTGTTTTGGCATAAAATGTACATAAATTTCAAGAACTTTGTACTCCGAATTTAAACTTGTCAATGAATAAATAAATCCATAAAGTTAAATCATTAAGCATAACAAGTATTTGCATACAAACTTATCAAACAAACTGCTTATCACAATCCAATTTTGGACATAATAATGCTATGTCATCATGCATTCATGGTCCAAGGAATATATTACTTAATAACCACAAAGGTTAATCGAGACGCTTATCTGCACTTCATTACATAAATATTTATGTTGCGATAAGGTGTTATACACAATGGGTGACATCTGCGAACCCAGTCAATAAGTCGTGTTGTGTGAGTAGATAGGCTTCACTTTCATTCTTTTAATATAATTGTCCTCTCATTGAGGAATTGAATTATTTAGTGTCAATAACCAAAGTATTCATAAGTTTCCTAAAAATGTATAAAGTTCAAAAGTTCAAAAACTAAATAATTCCGATGGATCGAAAATCTGATCAAGCCGTAGTTTACAAAACCTTTCGTCCCGTCAACTCACCCGAGACGGAAGATGATACTAGGTAAAATATCTTCAGAATCTTTTAATTACCAATAATTGAATAATTAATACACTGATAACTACATAAATATAAACTTTATTTACTCGGATTACTCAGAAACCGAAACAGCATTTACTACGACCATTTACTAACCGAAGCGCTAAGCTCTGTCCCAAACATAACTGTTTCTATTGCACCAGGTATTTTCTGGCAATTTTTGGCTACTCTGACAATGGAAGTCTCCCAGCATATGCTCTCGGATTTTAACCAGTGTCAATCGACTACAAACGTGCATGATTAATATGCAATTTTCAACGAGAATATTTCCAAAAGCTCACGTTCAGCAGACAAATGTGGATGAGAAAGCTGTGCAATTTTGCACTTTCCAAATTTCCTGTGCGTTTTCTCCTCTTCGGATGCAAGTACCTCTCCCAAACTTTAGCATTGGCTTTTGCGAATGTGATATTAATTAAATTTGGGATCAAGGCAAGTGACACATTTGCTCAAAATCGGAGAGCATACGCTGGGAGAACTCCATTGTAAATTACTTAAATTTACTCTGACTTGAGTAATAAATTCTTAAAATTTATCGTTAGTAACCACTCCCCCAATTTCCGCATCTCAACCTGGCTCAATTACTGATCAAAGCTGGGTGAATTCCGTCTCCTTCGACATATTTCAAACGGACGGTGACCGTGTCCTGAATGGGCCTCGGGTATTAAACGCCGTTGCCACAACGGCGAACGAGGCTAACAAATCTGAACCGATTTTACGCAAAATTGTTTTTACCCGGGATGGCGTGCAAGTCCTCAAGTGCGAATATCGGTGCAGTTTAAGATACGGGTTTCCAGTGAGTACATGCATACACAATTCGGATAAGGTTAAATATGGTGGCAAGTCATCACTTCATCTGTCACTTGTAAAATCCATAATTTTTATAATCCGATAAAATTTCGTAAAATAATTTTGCAAACTTTTACAAAATAAAGAAATGCCTCTCATTTGAGCAAGTTTACATAAATATGAATATGATCTAATTTTCTTCAGAAACATTTGTAAAATTTCGTAAAAATGTGTAAGTTTACAAAATTAAAAACTCGTGATAACTGCTCTTCTTTCACAGGAGTTCCGCTTTTCCTCACCAAGCAGCAGTATCTCACCTGTTAATTGGACCAGTGAAGCCCCCCTTGCCCCAGGAATGTTGGGATTTGTTTGTTCCTTTCTCTGCCCTTGTTTCTGCCTCTGCTTTCCCACAGCGACCACGGTCCTGCAGAATAAAAAAGGACAAGAAAAACTTCTCCTTGGGGAGGAATGGATAGTCGTTGCCAGAAAGGTACATATACGCAGAAATATTTGTAAAAATCTGCATATGCATATTTATGTACATATATGCATATTTACATATGTACATATGCACTATCATTTACATACATACGTACATAATGTATTGGGAATATTTTCGAAAAATGTTAGTTTTGGTACAGTCCGCACAAAAACAATTAAATTTTTACAATTTGATTGCTTAAATTTGTAAATTGTTGTAAAATTGAGACTTCGGTAAACACCACACAATTCTTAGCAAAATTAAATTTCTAATAGCAACCAGCTTAGCGTTAGGCATCCATTTACATATTTATGTAGGTATGTAAGTGGGTGTCGCAAAAGTCAACTGCATACCCAATAAGAAATGAATGTTTGATTCACATGATATTAATGATGCAATTGTGGGATTTGTGTGATAGTGATATTTTGTCGCAATTATCGATTTCAGTTACGTTGAATTCACATGAGATTTGTGATTGTGAAATATTAAGGAAAAGAACTGTTGAATCAACGTGTTAGTAATGCTGCGTCAGTATCGTAAAGATTCGTGGCAAAGTGGACGTGAATTGTATGTGAGAATCACATTTAAAATCTCACATGGAATTTCGTGTTTTGCAGCGTGGAATAAACGTGATTTTAGTGTGAATCTGATGTGAAAGGGCGCCACCACTACCACGTTGTCTCATGCTCTTTCCAGCCAGCCATTTCCATTTTAGTATTAAAGTGACAACAGACTGTGCAGTATAGTAAGCAATGTCTCCCAAGAAATTACCAGAAATTCGTCCATCTTACTTTGTAGTTGTGGAGTTTCCGAACGATAAGCCTGTCTCTGTAGAAGCTATTCCACGCACCTGGTTAATTAGTGAGACAGAGTGCTGGTGGCCGCAAACATTAAAGATCAATCAGTTGAAAAAGAAAATTGGTAATAAGTTTTCGAAACCTGAACCGGAGTGGAAAAAGTGTCAATGCAGAATTTTAGGAGAAAAAGGTGAGTTTTCGTTCATTTTCGTATTTATACAATGTACAGTTGTTATTAAGTAAATTGTATTAGTTAAAGTTCGATTTTCCCATTTTCACAGATGATTACCATGAAGCGCAAAAGGCCGCAAAAATTGCAGAAGATCGCTCCGATGTAGAAAACAGTGGGACAGAAGTTAAGCGCTCATCACGAAAACCAGTGCACTACAGCAGTTCTGACGGTAACGGTGAAGATTCTGACAATGATTGCGGGAGAAAATTTGGCGAATCAAACCAGGAAAATATCCCATCGGCCTTTGTAAACAATACAGAACAATCAAGTACTGTGTAGAAATTTAGATTAATTTCCATTCCACTGTTTCTATTTAATTGTTAATAATTCAATTAGAATGACTTTGCTTTCACAGGTCTGGAAAATGAAGTAGTGGCTACCACCGAGACACATCAAGGCCCAATATTTCTGACTTTGAACAATTCAACTGGACTTTATGAGTTGGATGCCAGCCAAGGCGAAAATTATATTGGAACGTCTGAACCTATTGTTATCGAAGATAATCTTTCAAGTTTCGCTACATCTCTAGAAGCAACATTGTGCGCTACACCGAGCACAAAAAAACAAATCTAATTCAGGTAAATGTTTATTTCAGATCAAACATAGTTTCCTGGTGAGATTTTTGTCAATTTCATTTTAAATTTCATTTTATTGTTTTGTTAGATTCGTTTCAAAAAGTAGTGCTCAGATATTTAGCTGAAATCAGAAGCACTCGGAAGGAGCTGATTAAGCGGGTTGCTAATTTGGAAAATCTAGTGGAATATATTCCTAATTCATCAGGATTAACCTCTGGCCGACCAAATGAGGTGAATTCCGACACTCTTCCAATTTTCCCCCTCGAAAATGAGCAACAATTGTCACAGTTAGAAAACCAATTGGAAATAGAGGAGGAACGAAATAACTTGGTTAGTTTGCTTTAATTAACTCGTACTTAATGGATTAATTAATTATATTTAAATAAATATAGATGATTGAACTTGTTTTCTCAGGTCTCTTATCTATCTTTAATTGGGGGAGATGATGTGAAAGATACTGCTAAGGATATTATGAAAAGGATCGTTCATCACAATCTTGCTTTGAAAATTACATTTACTGGGAAAGTGGACAAAAGAGCATTCAATATTCATTCAAAATTGAATTAGTGTATCCAAGGTGAGTTTGATAACTTTATTTGCAACTATAAAATGAGAAAATCTTACTGTGATGATTTAATAAATAATTTTTCTAGCTGCCGTCCGCCGCAACAAAAATGGATCTTGTAAAACTGCGACAGAGAAAGAAATTAGAGAAGTCATCATGGACTTTTTTCGATACGCTCGACCAGCTAAAGATTCCCAGCGACATTAAAATAATACAGATTTTGCAACAATAGTTTGTTAGTAAAAAGTAGTAAGGTAGTAAGTAGTATTATTAATTGTAAAAATGTCATCTTCTAGAACAAAACGTAGAAAAGTGCAGCAAGATTATCAGAGTATGGTAGATGAGATACATAATTTAAACACTAATTTAGAAACTAATTTAGGTTCGATTCAGGTGCCAATTTTAGAAAATAGTTATAGTCCTCCATCAATTTCTGCATCCATAGCTGATGATGTACAGTTAAATGACGAGTCAATTTTGATTACTTCGAATGATAAGCCAACGTTACAAAATAGTTTAAGTGAGTGGGCGGTTAAGCACAATGTAACAGCCCGAGCTGTTGACGATCTATTGCTAATTTTAAAAAACGAAAATTTGGATTTACCCAAATGCTCCAAAACCCTCTTGAAAACCCCCTGTACTAAATCTTACGAGTTTCAGAATATTCCTGGTGGGATTTATTATCATTTTGGCCTTGTCAAAAAGTTAGATTTTTTTCAATCCAAGGACTTAATATGCAGTACCGATACGATTAAACTTATCATAGGCGTGGATGGTTTACCCATTAGCAAAAGCAGTAAAAAACAGTTTTGGCCAATTTTGGGTAGCAGCAAAGAGGTTAATTCAAATAAGCCTTTTATGATTGGATTATATTTCAGCGAGGTTTCTAAACCAACATGCTTTATTAAATTTTTAAATCCGCTCGTGTTAGAATTGAAAGAACTATTGGCTCACGGAGTGTTTATTAACGGTAGATTTTATAAAATTGAAATTCACAGTATTATTGCAGACGCCCCTGCTCGTAATTCTTTAAAGTTTACGGTGCCTTTTAATGCGTATCATGGTTGTGAGCGTTGTGTAGGAAAAGGAAACTGGTTGGGGCGAGTTATTTTCCCGTCACTTAATTCACCACTCCGATCGGATGAACAATTTATTTTACAATCAGACCATCTTCACCATACTGGGGTGTCCCCATTAATTCAATTAAATGTTGGATTAGTAACAATGGTTGTCCTTGATTACATGCACTTGATATGCTTAGGTGTAGTTAAAAAATTGCTAAAATATTGGAGAAAGGGACCCTTACGGTTTAGATTAGGCCGAAAAGAGGTTGAAAGCATATCTGAAATATTAGTTGGGCTAAGGAAGTATGTTCCAAAAGAATTCAATAGAAAACCTAGCACTTTGATAGAATTAGATTTTTGGAAGGCCACCGAGTTTCGATCGTTTCTGTTATACTATGGCCCAGTTGTTTTGAAAAACATTTTATCTCCTTCAAAATATAATCATTTTTTACTTCTTAGCGTAGCTACAAGGATTCTGTTGTCTGATAATCGAAATTGGTATAATAATGCTAGAAACATGCTGAAAGAGTTTGTTAAAAATATTAATTCATTATATTCACCCGAGTGTTTAGTATACAACGTACACTCCCTGATTAATGTTGCTGATGATGCTGATATCTATGGCTCGCTAGATTCTATCAGTGCTTTTAAGTTTGAAAATTATATGCAGACTCTTAAAAAAATGATTAGATCAAAGAAACATGAACTTTCTCAAGTTGTGCGCAGAGTTTATGAGTATGAAAACTCGTCATTTGTAAATTCCCCAGTGTCCAAAAAAATTGAATTGAAAACTGACTGTTCTAACTCAACTTTTCTAACTAGCAATGGTGACATAGTTCGTGTAGTTGAAATTAGCCTTGATCAAGTAGGAGTAAAGATTTTCAAGAACAGAAAAGAGTTTTTTGAGTATCCTTGCAAAAGTAGCTTACTTAGCATATACGTAGTTTGTCAGCTTAGTAAAACTATGCATACTTTCCCACGGTCATCACTTAAACTGAAATTGATGTTATTACCTTTGACCAGTGGCCTATTTGTATGTATGCCTCTTTGTGGTCACGATCTTTCCAATAATTAGAATTAAGATTATTGATAAATATACAATAATAGTTTAAGTATGTTAAACTTGTTAAATTTAGTAAAACATAATTCAATTTGTAAAATGAAATGAATATAAATAATGCAAATAAATGAATGTGTATGAAATGTTAAATCTGTGTGGTTTTACTGTGAATTATAACGTCATTACGACACCAAATGAACATCAAGCGAGTGTGAAATGCATGCGCGAAAAAAGTGAATTTACGCACAAAAATCACTTCATTGTAACGTTAAATACACATTCAAAGCTTGTTGTTTTCACATTGCAAGACGTCGACACAACGTTCGCTTTTTTTACTCAATCACGTTGCCATCACGTTAAAAAGTGGCCAAATTCACTGTTATCTCACATTGTGCGGATCACGTGAATGTCACAAACAAATTCTTATTGGGTACTAACATCTGTGTTTGGGAAAAGTGAGAAAATTTTCTCCTTACAGATACATGTTTACTTGCGTAAATTCAATTAAGGAATTAACAAGGACTATTTCGTCTTTTTATTACCAATATTTGTTATTTTACCACAGATTGTTCTACTTTAATTAAGCCTTTCTCTCCAGATAAACATTTTTCGACCTGCCAGCAAGACCAGTCCAAAGACGAAGGTGGGTCACATACACACGTCAGAATTTAGGAAAAACCAAAAACTCACGATAACATTTGACGATGGGGCTGACTCAATGAACGAGAGACTTCTCATAATCGGTGTTGCGGTCGGATTGGTGAGAATGATATATATTTTGTTGCAAAAAGTATTATCTGAATTTGCATGAACATCTATTTTCACACCACTCCACCCCGAAAATGAGGCAGTGTAGACAAATTCGATAACAGTTTTTGTAATTAAGATCTTTTATTTGAAATCCTTACAAAATATTTGTGTCTAATATTTTTTTAACTTACAGCTTGACAAACAATACATGGTTAAACTTATGGCATAGAAATATCAGAAGAAATCGCAACTGGAATAAGCAAACAGTACTTTTCATAAACATTTATATAAATATGTATGTAAATATGGTAAGGGATGATTTTTTGTAAAGTAAATTTTTGGATTCAACTCGGGATTTTAAACTTAAAATTTATAATTCTTGAACACAACATTTCTTGGGGTCCAACCCGAACATGATTCCATAAGTCATACGTATGTATGTTACAACAATGTTCCTTCTTTCGCAGTAACGACCGCAATTAAACTGTCCTCGACTGCTGGACTCAAAATATTTATGTTTAACGTTTATAAAACATGTATGTAGATATGTTTGTACATACATACACGAAGGTTAACGTTAAAAGTGATTGATTTGTTTAATATTTAATTATGTACTCCGATCTGCTCCGCGAATTTAGTTTTTTCAAAAACTAAATATATCTTTTATAAAATTCCGTTATTCCTTCTAAGTCTAATATTTCCGGAAATCAATGTACATAAGTTATTTGAACTACATCAATTTTAGCTCGGTCCTGCAAGCTAATAATGCTGAAGCCTGTACAGTATTGCAGTCAATCCATGATTACCTACGTTAATATGCATATCTTTCGAAGTCTGATATTTTTGTCCTTAATCTTCAATCGACCTTCAACGTTTTCGAATTTCATCCAAGACATCAATCAGTTCGACAACTGTCACATCCTTTTGAAACATCTGTATATCATGGTTATAAGAGTTTGCTCTCCAGCACAAAAACCATGAATGTTGTGGCAATTATTTTTGCAAAGAAGGACTTTCACCATGACATACTTATTTACTTGGGAATATCGAACAATTATAATCTTTAAAGACCACAAACTACGAGTTTGCAACAAATAAAAGATTTCAAACTAAGGATAAGTAAATAGGCGACGCTTCCGTAAAATCATAACCTATGCAACAATTTTTTTTGGGTGAGGACTAATATCTGAAAAAAACCTTAACCAAGTTCGATGTTTTCAACCTACACAACTTTCAACTATTTCATTCTCAATAAATTACCTAAGTTTAATTCAAGTAATTGAATTGTAAATAAATATAACATAATAATTGATTTAAAGAAGAATTCTCGGATGACATGGTTGAAGGAAGAAATTGAATTTATTTCCCAAGCTTTCGGCACGGAACTCGTGTCATCATCAGGGATAAAATATTTGGAAATTAAAACACGATATGTCACATACATGAGAGTTACATTAATTTGTTGTTTATAATTGTTGTCACGGGTGTTTGATGAGTGGCAGCATTAAAGATGACCAAATTGGATTCAGTTGTTTTCCGTTGTCCTGATTTATGGCGTTGGGACATTTTCTGATATATAAACTTTCAAGAAATTTTCTATGAAAATTTCTTCTCTCTGGAGTGATTAGACTTGCTGAGTCTTGGGTCATGATGTGGTTTGGATTTTCAAGGATGTGGAGTGCTACGGCAGATTTTACGTTTTTCTTCCTGATGTCATTCATGTGTTCTTTAATTCTTTGCTGTAGGGGGCGACTGGTCTCACCTATGTATATAGCAGGACATGAACATCTTATTTTGTAAATTCCTACCTTATCAGGTGATGGATTTTCCTTGTGTGAGCAAATGATCTGTTTTATTTTCTTTCCCGTTAAATACCCAAAATCACAATTCAGTTTTTTGCGTAGATAGGATGTTAGTCGATGTGTGATTGGTCCCATGTAAGGAAGGATGATCTTAGGAGGTTTTTCTTCGGGAATTTGGTCTGTGTTGAGTTGGTTTTGGAATTTGGTTTTCATTCTGTTGATTCTTTTTTGAATTAGGTTTCTTGGATAACCGTTCTGTTTTAATGATTCAGTTATAGTTTGTAGTTCTTCTTCTAAAAACTCATCATCACAAATTTTCAGTGCTCGATGAGTTAGAGCATCAATTACGGCTATCTTTTGTGATGGGTGATGGTATGAGTGGTAGTTAAGATATCTTCCTGTGTGTGTCTGTTTTCTGTAAACTTTTTTATGGATTGTGCCATCTTCGTCTCTTGATAAAAGTACATCCAAGAAAGGGATTTGCATGTTTTCTTCAAATTCGATTGTGAATTGGATACTGGGATGAAAACTGTTAAGGGATTGGAGTATGTCTTGCTTGGTCCCTATTTTTGTACAGGCTCCAGAGTCGTCCACAAAACGTTGATAAAATGGAATGTCTTTATTATTGATTATCAATTTTTCTTCAAGTTCTTGAAGGCAAAATTCAGCAAAAATTTGTGATATCGGACTGCCCATTGGGGTAATAATTGATAATAATTGATTTCCGAACATACCGACCTACACACAGACGTGATGATTCCATAAGTTTTGGCTATGGCATGGCTACAAATCGAAATTATAACTATTATATAATTATATAATTATTATATAATTATATAATTATATAATTATATAATTATTTATATTATATAATTATAATTATAACATTATTTTAATAATACGGTTAAACTTAGAATAATGAAACCAAGTAATTATAAATTTTATAATTCCTTATTTTTTCAGAATTTTCCGTAATTTAAATTTACATTCCGTGACATACGTGCATGGTCAAAATGCTTAAAAGGTAAAAAAACACGATACGTGAATACATTGTAGAATTAAACAGATTGGCGTATGCAACGCTACATATCTTGTAAACAAAAAATTCATCAACAACATCGCAGTACTTACTGGTTTTCGATCTGAATGTATTTTTTATCACGCAAACATGTTTTTTTTACTGTGAATTGGTTATGGAACCTGAAAAACTTGAATTTATTCAATACTTGTGAGAGGTAAGGTAAAATGAATTTGGTGAAGTTAAGCATATGCCGAAGCATGTAAATATGTATTTATGTACGATATCTCAATTTCAAATACATAATAAACTGGTCATTTAATGGTTATATGTAGTGTTCCATCCTAAACCTTTCTCCATTAAATATTTGATTAAATATAATCGTCAGGCTACATTGGACATTTATTGTCGGGTACCAATTCATAGCTTATTTTTTGCAAGCTTTTAAGTGCATATTTTCACCCTATAGGGTGAAAATATGCACTTGGTATTTATGTATACATAAATACCTATTTATGTATAAGTATCCAACTTTATACCTTATTGATTTAAGATGCGTAAGTTATCATGTGCAGAAGCACATCAACTGAACACGTTTCGCGTAAATTTACAGTCTGTGAGTCCAGTATGCTTTTAGAATCGACTCGAGGTGAATTTGGAGCGGTGGCATTCAGTTGGCTTATGCAAAACAGCGTTTGCGACAAGCTCCAACCCGCAATAGCGTTAGAAATTAAGTATTTACTTTTCCCTACCAAATTTCCTTAATTTGTACCCACTTCCATATTTATATGTACATTTACGCATCAACTCGACATGATCGTGGACGCTTTGTACGGAAAGTAAGGAGAAATTATAACTTATCAAAAAATAATTTCATACAGATTGTAAATATATTTAGGAAATAAGAATTTGGAGAAACTTAAATTTGTTTCCGTATTTTTATTGCACGTGTTTTTGTGTTAAGAATATATATCAAAAATCTAATTCATATCTTCAATTAAACAATTTGTCTAAATTCGTATAATCTTTCTTCATCCTTCAGGTTTCTAAACCTCGTCGTATATCTTTTCGACATTGTAATTCCAATTGTTCGTAAAATCCGGTACTTTCTTCTCCTCCTGTGTACCCCAATTTTGAAACCGATTGGATATTCAGCCGGATCGGAGTCACTATGAACTACGAGGCCAAATCCCACCCGGACATTTGCATCAAGGATACCCGATTCTACGCGAGATTATGGTCCGATCATCAGCTCGGTTTTGAAGAAATGTACACGGAGAGTTGGTGGACGTCGGAAAACCTTGGACAGTTGTACGATAAGATGTTCATCTTTATCAACAAGTACAGATTGTGGGGAAGTATGGATGAGATTTGACGGGTGCATTTATATGGTGGTCCCGTAGTACAAAGGAGTACGTCTGGGGCTACACCGGGAGATGCTTTCCTTCGATGGAAGCCGGGGTCACCAAATTTTTGCACTATACCGTTATTTCTCATTCCTACAAGATGGATTATGAAGGTCCACGTTGCATACTGGGAGGGCAAATTTAGATGGGGCATGCTGAACACGGGGCGGCAAGATTCAAACCACATAATGTCACTGGAATATGAATTACGTGAGTATAATTGTTTATGGATAATTGCACAAGATCAAAATTAATTGCTTTTTCTAACCAATTTAATACTAAATAATTTACTTATCCGAAGTAATGCTCAGAACCTTATCAACTTTTAAACTTTTGACTATTTATTTCAACATAATTTTAGAAATAAGGAGGCGCACCTTAATAAACTTCAATTTGCCACTAATTCTGTCGCGTGTTAGGTATCTGATGGATTTTAGATAAGTTACGAACGTCATAATAAATTTCCATGGAGTCTACCCTACTTTACTAAAGATATATGCATATTATGCGAATTACGTGCATACAAAACGATTACATTAGTATATGTATAATGAGGGTACTCATTATATACTAATGTTTTCATCCTTAGCAACGTTCGCAAAAAAATTAAGTTCGCAAAAATTTTTGGCTTGAAAATTGATTTGCGAGCTTGCCCATCTCCAGGGCTAGATTTAGTTCGCAAAATATTTTTTACAAATATGGAAAATTTTGCAATGGGAAAAGTCCACAAATCTCCATCAGTTACCAAAGTTTTGGGGTTTGAAATATTATATGAATTTCTTATTTGGTAAATTTTAAACGCAAAACTTCGGTAACTACATACACAATGGTAATTTCCGGATTTTTCTCAATTCAAAATGCGAGATATTTGAACACAATTTTCATTTGCGAAGTGTCTTCACTTCGTTGCTTCGCAAAATTCGCAATTTAGAAAAACTCATGTTGCGATGCGAACATGCGAACTGGTAATGAATACCCTCACTGTATCTACGATTTAGATACAGTGGCATCAAGATAACCTCCCGCCGAATCTCAAGGCCATGCGCGCACAACGACAGGCTCGATCCCGCACAACTCACCTAAAAAACAGGGTCTGGTTTTTAATATTTTGTTTTTACACTCTAGTGACCTTAATATTTGACCTTTTGAGGCCAAACTTGGCACACACATTGCCATTCATATTCCCCAGGGTGGTTTTCAAGGATTTTGACCTAGGTCACCTACGTGACCTTCCAGAAATTACCAAACTTTTTGCATAATATTTGGTTTTTACACTGTAGTGACCGCAATAGTTGACCTTTTGAGGTCAAACTTGGCACACACATTGCCAATCATATTCCTCAGGGTGGTTTTCAAGGATTTTGGCCCAGGTCACTTCAGTGACCCTCCAGAAATTACCAAACTGGTTGCATGATATTTGGTTTTTGCACTCTAGTGACCGTAATACTGACCTTTTGATCTCAAACTCGGCACACACACTAGTTATCATATTCCCCAGGGTGGTTCTCAAGAACTTTGACCTAGGTCACTTCATTGACCCCGCAGAGGTCGTAAAACGTGAATGACCTCTGTGGGGTCCCTGAAGTGACCTAGCTCAAAATCCTTGAAAACACCCTGGGGAATGTGCTTGGCAATATGTGTGCCAAGTTTGACCTCAAAAGGTCAACTATTGCGGTCACTAGAGTGTAAAAACCAAATATCATGCAACAAGTTTGGTAATTTCTGGAAGGTCACGTAGGTGACCTAGGTCAAAATCCTTGAAAACCACCCTGGGGAATACGAATGGCAATGTGTGTGCCAAGTTTGGCCTCAAAAGGTCAAATATTAAGGTCATTAGAGTAAAAACGAGACCCTGTTTTTTAGGTGAGTTGTGCGGGATCGAGCCTGTCGTTGTGCGCGCATGGCCTTGAGATTCGGCGGGGTAAGGTTATCTTGATGCCACTGTACCTTCGCATATGTAGTAAACTCTATTATTTCATTTTGCTCCATTTAGCCGTCGAATATTTCAAACTGATCACCGACCAGGAAAATATGCAACACTCGTCCGGTTACTTTGCCACCGGAGCGTCCACTTTTGCCGAGGCTCAAGTCGAAAAGCTGAAGCTTATCGCATCAAAACTACAACTTAGACCTGGGATGACGCTGATAGATGTCGGCTGTGGATTTGGCGGTCTTCCAAAATTCATGGCGGACAATTATGGCGTCTCTGTTACAGGAGTTACTCCTTCCGATTCTATGGCAAAAACTGCGAGGAATCACTGTTGTCGGAGCCAAGTAACGATTCTTCAACAAGATTGGAGAAAAATGGAGGGAAAATTTGATCGAATTACAGTCATAGAGATGCTGGATCACGTGAGAAAGCAGAATTACGACGAATTTTTTAGAAAAATCCAATCTCTTTTGAAGCCTGGTAAGTTTTTATTGCAAAATCTTTACAATACATATGTACATACATAAATTGTATATACCATCCGTAAATTCTCTAAATTCGCAAACTTTTGCAAATATGTACTTCTGAAGAATATTAGCTTACACATTTTTATAACTTTGCTCAGATCAATGAATATTTTATTTTATAAAATTTTGTAAAATTATGATACAGATTTTTACAATTTTATAGCTCTGATTTCACTAATTGTCTTCCTGCTCCTGCCTTAAATGGCATTCCTTTGCTAAAACTTTGAAGTTTAAACATATTTTTTTAATTTGTCTAAAAATTAATTTTCCAGGTGGACGCGTACTCCTTCAGCATTACGCCATGGACCCTGGCCATTTCCACTTTACCGAGTTTCTCTGCAAATACCAATATGGTCTTATTTACTTCTCCACTCTGTCCGATGTGGTCAGTCACGCTTCCAACTATTTTCACATTTCCAACGTCCACGACATTTCCTGCGATGCGGAAGAAACTTACAAACACTTTATCGACATGGTGGAAACTAATCGAGACAAGATGACAACTTTGGCTGGGCCCAAGGTCTGGAAGGCCTTCGAATCACGTATGCCTTGGCGCAAGGTGGCCTTAAATGCAGAGCGATCAAGGCCTACCAAACCGTCCTGGTTCGCAAGGATGACAAGGGAAGGGCTCCATTAAAATGATCCCATATGAGTATACTCATATGCGGGTCCCATTAAAATGAAATTACACAACATTTTTTTCGTCTGACCCCAAGATATTCCATAAGACTATGCTAAAATACTACTTTTTTGCAGTAAATATATTTAGACTACATAGTGATACTTGGCCTCGACTGTAAAATCATCGCGAAATTATTTATGCTTGAATCTACATATTTATAAAGTATGAAGTATTTATGTAATGTTTGTGCACAACGGCTAAAAGTGATTGAGTTGCTGAATATTTTAGTAAGAATGTACTCCGATCTGCTCTGCGAGTTTAGTTTTTAAACTGTAATGGTAAGCTTGCATCCGTGCGACACGAATCCCTGGAACATGGCAGTAAAATGATATGTATGCATATGTAATGAAGAGGTCTGCATATTTAGGCAAATACATACATAAATATTTTTAGTTAATACACTATCGCTATTGTATGCACATATGTAAATGCATATATATATTTGGTAAATTTACATATGTACATATATGTACATAGATGCCGATACAAATAAGCTTATTCAGAAAGTCTGGCACAATCACCCATATTTAACGGACAGAACAGGCCCAATACTTTTTCAGACACTATAAATATTATTTATTCGGAAAAGATATTCCATCGAAATTGGCTATCCAATGTTTAGAACCGATCCAGAAAGCCTTCCTCGAAATTTTCAAGTTTTTCTCAAATACTCAAATACCAAGCAAGGAAAAAATTGCTAATTGTAAGTATGCATTTGACCCACCACAAAAAAGTTACCGTCGGTGATATTTCAGACATTTCGGAACCGATTTTGTTACGTTGAGGGAGGTTGTTACGCCATACAGTGTTGGAAAGGGCCAACAACAAGTCAAATTAGAATATAAAGTGGGCTAGGTGTATGACAACCCCGAGATTCGTATTAATTCTAAAGCCTGTACAGTATTGCAATCAGAGCAGAATGAGGACTTTTCAGATTCTGACATTTTTCTTCTTAATCCTCAACCCTACCGCATTTTCACATTTTATCCAAGATATCAATCAATTCGACAACTGTAACATCCTCTTATACACGATCGGTCCAATTACATCTCGCTTCCTCGATCCCCTCCCCCACGCGAAACACCCGCTCCAACTCGCCCAACCGTCAGCCCTCATCGACCCGTCATTCGTGCAAATAATCACTCATAAAGGTAAAAGTTGGCTTAACATCTCTTCACTAAACTTATCGTATCCCTCCGTACTTCCAGATATTCAACCCACCCTTTCAAAATCCCCGCTCACCTGCAAACTCTTCGCCGTGCTGGTCACCGCACCCCGAAGTATGATCAACTTGTACAACATGAACCATTTATTTGGTGCGTTACAAACCTCCCGCGAAACCTATTTAGGCCTCGAAACTGAAGACGCGCGACTTGAGCACAATTACAAATTTTACTTTCGTCATACACTCGCCCTTGTATACTTGCCGGACAAAACGGCCGGATTTTTACGAGTGAACATCTCTGACGTAGCCCTTGTACGTTTAGACTCTGTCCGGGTCTGGAATAGAGATATCGTAGACAAGTATCACATTCGGGGTACAATCTTTGTCAAATATTTCAAAGAATATGAAAATTTGAAACTTGAGACTGCGCTAATTTCAAAAATCAATTCCTTACTTCAACAATCCTTAAGGAATAAGGGTTCCTGCCGATTCGAATATTTCTCGGCAAAAAAACTATTTAAGGAACCCTTCACCTTCCAGAGCCTTATCCACCTTAAGGAAGGTTTAGCTCTCCACCGGAAAAACGCATTCGCCACCGTTATGGCGTCCCTGATTAAATCGCACCTAAACCTCACCGAAGTACCCGGGCATAAATGCAACAAGGAGCACGATCTCTTCACCGAATTCATGTCACGGGCAGTAATTCCTGCAAAAATCGGGGACGATCTGACCGATTTTGACGCACTCCCGGTCGGAATTCCGGACCAAAGTTTGTACCATTTATTCTGGATTAATGAAAGCATCTCCTTCGTCACGTGTTCCCCGACGGAATCTTTCATCAAATTTGCCAACCTTTTAACCCCATACGAATCCACGGCTTGGGTCGCCATTTCTGTCACATTTCTTGTGCTAGCCATCGTTCTGAACTTTGCTACTAAAAATTTTGCAGGGGTTATTAGTCTTCTTAGCGTAGTGTTAGAAAACAGTAGCGAAAATGGAGCAAGTTCTCGAACAGCGACGGGGTTGCTCGTTTTGTGGACTTTTGTCCTGCTGTTGCTCGGAAAGTTTCCGAACAGTTTGAAATCTATGGTGGACAACGATTTCTTGTTTGTTGACGTGCATCCATTCGGGTTGGAGGAGGGGCAGCATTCGGACTTGTTTTCGCGGGTGTTCCTAACTTTTTTGCATATGGTCCATCCCGCCATAGTTCGGAGGAATCTGGGAAACTCAAGTGGAGTTTATGAGGGAAATACGATCGAAGATATTTTGTATTATAGGTGGTGCTTTTACGATTACGAAAGAAGAAGGAGGCACTCACGTGAAGCGGAATGTTCAAGGAGAAAGTTTAATTTCACGGGGATTGAAAATATTCAGTTTTATGAGACGTACCTAAAAAAGTATCCGATACTTCTGATGTCCTTGCATCTACAAACGTATACAAATCAAAAGGTAAGGTTATTATAATGGTTGACATCCACATATTTATTTCGGGAATGAATAAATAACTCATTAATTATTCGAAAAATTCGGGTGTTAATAATTTGCAAAGTTTTTGGCCTGAATATCTGCAAATATTGAATAAATATTGAATAATTACGTACTCAGTTTCATGAGGAATGAATGAATGAATGAATGAACTCATTCATTTTTCAAGCTATGCTTATTAAAAAAAATAATTATTAAATAATACATGTATCGGGTATAAACCCATCAAATAAGGCGAATTTGCGATAAAACGAGTAAAAAGTTTATGTAATGAATACATAAACATTAATTTTTAAAATTCGAACAGGTATCTGATAAAAATGCGGATCATGGACAAAAAGCCGGAGTCAATTTAATCGCAAACTGTGAGAAATCTGCTCTGGTCGCCTACACGTCACAAATTGATCACGTCGTGGCGAAACTTTTGGGTGAAACGTCCCACATTAAAAGACGACCTTATAAGAAACTTGAAGAAACTATTTTCTCGAGGCAGAAATTTGTCACTATTTCAAAATACGGATGGGAACTGGGAGGTCCTTTTATGCAAGGAATTTTTGCTTCGGGAATTTTATTCAGGTGGTTACAGTTCGTGGAGGGTTTATACACCGGGCTTTTCCGATGGGAGGAGGACAGTTCGGGGGTTAAGTTTCAACCGCAAGATTTATTTTCGAATTTGGGAACGATATTTTTCATCCTCTTGATTGGAACAGGGTTGGGCCTGGTTGTGTTTATTTGTGAGATGTTAAGATTGCCAGAAATGAATAGGAAAAATTGGAGGATTATTTGCAAGAATCATTGGAAGAGCATTTCTGGGCTAATGAGACTTTTTGGAGGCACGATTTTCCGTAATTGTTGGGTATGGTGGAAGTTTCAGAAATTGTGTACGTGCAGAAAAGTTTTGGCAAAAAGAATTAGATTAAACAGAATTAGATTAAAATCTATAATAAATACGTATTTATGAAAATATGATTACATAAATACATACACGTGGACAATTTTAACCTTTTAAAATGTATGGAGGCTTTTTGGCCTCCTTGGGAACATTTCGTTGTTGTGGAAGGAAGTCTTTTAGCCTCCTAAAATTTTAGGGCTTACTGCGGGAAGAGGTCAATAAACCTCCACGAATTTGTAGCCATGGTGCGGGAGGAGGTCTTTTAGCCTCGACCCAAATTTTTTCTCCACTGCGGGAGGAGGTCAATAGACCTCGCTAAAAAATATTTTTTTCACTCTTCATAACCCATAATAATATTTTATATCGTAAAATAATTACTAGATATTTGATCAAATTTGCACAAAAAAACACTCGAATACAAAATTGTGAACGTGTTGAATTTTCTACCATCACATTGCAAAGGATTTAAATGAGCAAAAATTTATTATAAAATACTCAAAAAAACCCTTCCCACAGTAACCATCTATTTAGCGTCCCTCCTTTTACGAAACTAAATTTTCTCTTTGGAAAATGACTCCCGAATCATAACCCAATAATCACAGTAAATCTCCAGCGGTAACGCCTTGGTCATGTCATTATACAAACGTTTTAAAAGGTTAAAATTAAAAATGTTGCCGTAAGTCTATCTAAATACCGAGGTTGAATCGGTAACACGTGAACGTTTTTGACCTTAAATTACTGGTTGAACGGCTTGGAGTGGAGGTCCCGAACATTTGTTATGTGAAAGCCCTTTTCTCGAGCTACAAGTCGGTATCGGCGATTTCAACTTTTGTACACTGATTTGACCATGGCGAGGTCAAGTTTAGACCACTCGTCTCTCAAAACTTTCCAAACTCCGTCAAAAGTTTTTGGGTGGCGGAGAAAAGATTTTATTTCAGATATCCAAAGCCGAAAAAATTCTTGGGACTTACATAGAGTGACTTAATAGGTATTTCACTATTTTGGATGATTGTTATCCCGAGTGTAGTGTTTAAGTCCTTGGCGTAATCCTGGGTCAAAAGGGCGGTGTGCGATGACGCTGCGTCGTGATGAACTATCACTTTTTTGTGTCCTAGCCATATAGTTTTCGAAGATGAATCTCCAAAAGCGGTTTTAAAACAAAGTCAATGAAGTACTTCACAGTTACCTTCACTTTTTTTGGAACTTTGATAAGTGGGAGGAGACCACGACCAGATAATGCACCAACCACCATGAACTTGTTGCAAAACTTTTCCGTGTGCGGGATGGCCAATCTTCTGGAATTATTTTCTTCTTTGGTTGTATAGTAAATTTTTCTATGACCGTTGGTATCTTTAAAGAAAATAATTCTTCATCCAACAACACTAAAAAGTCACTTTTATCTTTTGTCAGGTAATTAATATAAAATTTTTTGCAGGTCAAACGACGATTTTTTTATGCTTCTCGAGTCAGCTGATGGACTCGGATTTTTCTTCGTTTTTGCCTCCACAAAATATTAATTGCCCGTCGCAAACTAGTCTCTGACACTTTAGTTAGACGTGCCACTGCTCTCTGGGGTGGTGGGTTGTCCTTAGAGGTCAATAGGTCAATTTTCTTAAGCACGGGCCGAATTAGCACTTTTCGGACTCGTGTTTGAGGCATGATGGTTGTCC